CACATACTATGACAAATGTTATGGTTTCTACAAGGCTCTAGTGAGTCGTGTGGCGTCTTCGGACAACGACCAGAATGGCAGCACCACCTTGTCGACCAAAACCGCGGCGTCGCTTGCAGCATCGGGCGACGTCCATGATGTCGCACTGGAGCTGCTGAACTACGACAAATCGACCAACAAGAGCATGTCGCGACCCAGCATGATCGCCAAAGAGGTGCAGACTCTGCTTTCTACAACCAAGACCAACCCGCTCTCTGCCTACGACATTATCTCCGATCCCAAATCAGTTCACCAACTTTCTCTGCTCTACAACAGCATGCAATGGTTGGCCGCCGCGCTGGCGCAGATTCGACATGTCGAGAGCGGCACGCATACGGGGCTTTCACATGCAAGAAGCGGTTCACAAAACAGGAGCGTGCGGCGGTGGACATTGATCACCAGTCTACGAAGTGGTGGATCCAGCAAATCGCCCTCGTACCCTGGCGCTGTTGTGCCAGTTTTCCTGCCTCTCACACCCGAGACCACCATCCCTTTCGACACGGTGGTGTCCTCCTTCCGCTCACTGGCACAGACGTGCCTGCTGACCCTCCACATCGACGTCCGGTGTGGTATCATCCACCAACTATCGCGTACGTTACGCGGGCCTGACTCTAATACAAGCCCGACCTCGCCTTCGGACAACCGAGACTCTGCAGGTGCTCCACCTCTCGATTCGGGACTCTATCCTTATGTCCTACCTTCTCCACCGTCTTCGGCATCCCCGCTGATCCTCGAGCTCAACAATGATCTCATTGCTTTCGACTCCAATATCGCGTCCTTCTTGGGCACCCGAGAGAGGAATTTCATCCTCAGGGGGCTTTCACAGCTGGTGGACCGCTATCTTGTGGCCGCTGCAGATGCGATCGGGGTCATGAATACAAACGGAGCAGAGAGAGTCAGGATCGATACCATGGTGGTGCAGCAGAATCTAAGAGCGATACTTGCGAACACGACGCACAAGCGACGAAGTTGGACCAACGACAACAAGGACCCGGCTGGTCTTGGTATCTCAGGCGCCGATGACACCGACGCAGATAACGACGACGGGCTGCTCACTTCGTCGAGTCGATACTTCGACCTCTTCCTCACCGGACCAGATTCGATCCTCCAATACGTCCGGGACTGCAAGTCGCAGGAGAAGGATGTTGGGTACACATACGACGAGTTGCGTACACTGGTCGAGTTGTGTTTTAGCGCAAAGTTGAGGGGCGAAGACCGAGAGGAGGCCATCAGGGCGAGAAAGGGGTTACAGGATGCACTGCTAGAGCTGGGCGAGGGAATGTGGGACAGCTGAAAGCTGGCGTGAGAGGGTATGCCAATGTCGCCTTTGGAACGAGGCACTGCGGATTGCGGAAGAATTTGTTTTGGGATTTTCGAACATAGCCAGCCAGCCAGCCAAATTGGTAACTACCTAGGTACCCAAGTATACGGGGTATATTCTGACGGTATCATGTATCATTTACTCGCCAATTTGGTTGGTATGTATGTGTGTATGTCTATGTATGCAATGCATGTATGTCTATGTGTCTATCTATCTCGCTCTATCTATCCATTATGGGGTCGAAGTGAGCTTTACATAATACGTATTGTATGTATGTATGATGTATGTATATCTGTGTGTACTCCAATATATTCCAGTGTCTTATCTACATATTTTGTTATCCCCTTCTTCTTTATCTGTAATTTATTTTCACGGTCGTGACAAGTGAGGAACCCATGTGTGCTTTCGTGCGCAGCTGTGCGTGCAAAGGCTGGAGAAGGAAAAGGAAGAAGGAGAAAGAAGAAGGGTGTGAGACTACAGAGAGGTACCGAGGACAGCAAGCAAAGATCCATAATACATACCTACAGATACATACATACATACATACATACCTTAGCAGGTAGGACACACAGATAGGACCAGGTACTGTCGGTAAGCAGGCCAGGGAACAGATCTACAGACCTGTCTCCTATAATAGGAAGACAGCCCCTTACTTTACCTATCTATGCCTCGACAATTGTAGTCTTAGCTAGAACTAATATCTGCTGCATCTCCCTGCTATTCGATCTCTTTTTCGTCTCCCTCTGTGTGTGTGTCTTCCCTTTTCCAACTCTCGAAAGTGGGAATGACTCGAGCCTCTTTTATATTCCCCCCTTCCCCATGCTCGTGGAGTTTGACTGTGCTTTTTCCTCCATAAACCCCCATCCTTTGTATAGAGGGATTGTCTTGGTTTTTCCTTTCTGTCTTTTTTTTGTGTGTGTGTTTTGGGACGTATTCTTGTGATCCTCTCCTCTTGACGACCCCCTTTTCGCATTTACTCTCTCGTCTCTGCGCCCACGGCAGCCTTGATGTTCTTCCTCGTGTTGATGAGCATTCTCGATTCGGGCGCAGAGGTTTTAAAAGGATGGATGTTCCGGCACTGGACGTCGAAAAATATCGCCCTTGCCTGTAGTATGACTATTTTGTCTTCTCTTGCACTTGTGCCACACTGCGCGTAGCACGCCAGAAGACTCCTTCGGTAGCTCACATCCACGCAACCTAGTCAGTCTTGCCTTGTTTTTCAGATGGAAAAGTCGGTGGCCGTATTCCCATGCACGGACGCCAAGATCGAATGCGTGCTGAATTCCATCACTTTTCGTATAGATCAAGTCACACTTGCGTCAAAAAATGTATAGCTTTTGGACCTGTACTAGAGTCGTGGACTGGCTTGTTCGAGATCGAGCAAAGAAATGAGGTTGAATGGTCGCCGCTGCAGAGATGGACATATTCGACTCGTCTGTGATTCCGAGAACTGCTTGCTGCATCAGTACACTCATCAATCAATGTGAACACTTTTTAAGGTCAGGGGTTAGGATGATGTATGCCTAACATCTTTCGATTGTGCAGAATGAACGGCCAACTTCATGCCATCAATAAGACCTGACGATATCTTTGTTTGTTGGGTCAAACCCCTCTCCTTCGCAAATATTTTGTCATCATCAAGCCCGAACGCTGATAAGCCAAGGCAGAATTGCTGGTACCGAGACAAAAAGCCCTGCTCGGGTTGCGTAAAGTATCCTCAAGACATTCTATCTTCCCCTGCCCCAAAGTTAAAGAGTCTTTGCATTGTGTGCCGAAGCCACTGTAGCATCTTCACCTGGTAGGTTCACAAATCAAAACGGATGATGCGATGCCTTGTCTCGAGTCTTGCTTCATCAACCAATGCCTTTGACCATTCATTATGAGGCAATCACCATCCACTGCGAGATGCAACTGCGATTCTGTGCCTCTAAGGCTGGAAGACTGTTGACATTGAAAGCAGGGGGACCACTGTGTATTGCGTGCGAAGGAAAGGGACTTTGAGGGAAGGCTTTCCGCTATAAGGCTGTAAAGGAGGCTTCTGGCATCGCTCGAGCCTGCTCAGAGGCCGTCGCAGAGAAAAGACAGAGAGACATTGTCTCCGGCGGTAATGTTACATGAGGTATATCGTGCTGGAGAAATCGGAGAGGCGGCTGCGTTCAACTGATGTAGAGCATTCGCACTGACACCAGTCAATGCGATCGGGGAAGATGCACCAGCAACAGCATCCATTCTGGGTACCATTATCCTCAAACAACACCCCGAAGCTCGAGTTTCCTGGGAGGACGGGACTCTGTTCCGGCTTGGACAAAGAGAGGCTGACCTGTGGAGCACACTTGTGTCTTCCTCCTGCGGCAAATGCCACCGGGATAAAACTTCCGGGCGAGTTCTGGTGAGATCCTAGGAAATGCCAACTCTTGATCTTCAAAATAGAGGCCAATCCGAACCCAACTATCGGGGCTTGTCCTCCCAAGTTTCAATTTCAGGGCGACAGTTTACCACGTTGGGTGATTCGATTGTTTGCGGGCTTGTGGGGGACCTATGCGTCCACAACCCGGCAAAAGGCGTCTACTTGGTCACTGTCTTGTGTACAGTGACCACTCTTGCCCAGTGGTTTGGATCTAGAGGTATCGACCCCGGTAGTTTCGCCCCAAGGGGAAGAGCCACTCACCGAAAGTCATGAATGCTGTCGATGTGGCAGAGTGTGGTAAGAATGGGATCAAACGCTATCCAGCCACCATCCAGCCCCAGTCGTATGTAGACGAGGCCTAGTTGCAAGGAAGTGTGGCTTAACCTTACGCTAGGATCCAACCAGCATCAGGTTTTCTCTAACATAACGCATTGAAGGGGTCGGGAGTTGCTTCTCCTCAACGAATAATTGGAGAAAGATTGCCATGGCTCCCGGATCGCAGATACATGTCCACGCAAATTCTAGTAGTGGGCGACTAGCAGGGGGCTAGGACCAGGGCTTTTTGCCCTTTTGCTTGCAAAAAGATTTTCGGGCAGATTGTGGAGGCCGATCAGGGTCGAAGGCAAAGAGAACATGGTGGAAGAGGCACCGTAGCGGTGCGTCCAAGTACTGGTACTCATTGACGATTCCATTAGGGAGGCCGCCACTTGTGTGTCGAGCCGATTGGACAGATCCATCTTAGCAGGGCGATTCTGCCACAGTTGCATATCGTGCGGCCAGTTGCCCCGATCTTTCTCTTTCCCAACCTTACAACCCGACTCTGGGCCAAGCAGGGTCTCGTTGCCAACTCTCGTCCCATGCCCATTTCCCTCCATCTTTCGACCGTTTCTCCAACATTTTGGCTGAGACGAACTGGTCTGCTGTGATCCCGGCTTTTCTCTGTCCCAGGAACAATCGAACAGGTTGTGGCTGATACTGTGGCTGAGATAGTGTCGAAATCTGGAGGGAAAGGATGTGTGGCTATCCACAGAATTGTGGCCGTCAGTTATCGATTAGAATCATACCCTGACAAATTTTCGATAACGTAGCCATCTAATCAGGGTGTCTTCACTGCCGCCGAGTTGCAAGAAGAACCTCTTCTTGTTGGTCGATAGGACAGGGTCGCAACGTCAACACCGTCCATCTGAAAACCCGGCGTTCTGATTTTGGACCAGCACCCATCGTGGCAACAAAATGCCGAACCGCAAAGACGCCCAAGATCTTAAGCCTTCACCCAAAGCAGGAAGCGGTGAGCCCGGCAAATCACGGGTCAGGATAGGGAGAGCCTGCGATCGCTGCAAGATCAAGAAGAGCAAGGTGAATTGACCCCCTTTGGACTATTTTTGGTTGACGATCCTAGTGCGGAAGCATTGTCAGATGGCTGATTCTAGCGTAGTGCGATGGCAATACCCCTTGCTCGGCGTGCATAGCAAGTGAGAGCACGTGTGAATATAGCGCGCGACGACGAAGAGAGGCAAGAGATTGGTAAGTTGCTGACCGTATCAACACCGGCGCTCTCGCAGTGAACCATCTTGCACAGTAAGCCTGATGTTTGTTGCTCTAGGTATTGGGGTATGCAGGACGTGCTTGATGAGGCGCTCCAGAGACTCTACTGGGCATGTCGGGAAGGTCGCGGGTTCCCAGGAGTGATTCCAGACGAGAGTGGCGGTCGGGTATCGACTGACGCGATTCTCCGAGGACTGGGATTGAGTCCTCCACCGATAGATGATACGCGCGTGCTAGGGAGCCGGTCAGATTCAGTCTTGGACATGCAGGCTCATTCGCATCATTCGCGATCATATCGCCCGCCGGATCTCCTGTCACCAGATTTGTCGCGCAACAAACCCCCCTCTTCTGCCATGACCCCATTGTCCACCACCAGTGACGACAGACTCACCTTTGTAGAACCGGCACTTGATGGTGGCGCAGGGCGAAGGAGAAGACCACCGTCCGCGATGGACGTAGATAAGGAGGGGGATCTATCTGACGGCCCCCCGGAGGCATATCCGGACGGCCTCGGTCAACAATTCCAAGAGAGTCTGGGTGGCGGCGCTGATTCCGCAATGCTGCAAGATGGAGATATGGGTGTGATGGAGGGCACACTATACCCAGACATGAGCGCTATGTCCTTTGGGGAAGGGGGACAACCGAGTCCTCAGAGTCACCGGATACCCATGCAACCTGTTGCTAGCCAGTTCCATCTCGACGGCCTCCCCCAGGACCGGTATCGACCTGGTGGACAACAGGGGTGGCAAGGACGGGTTCACCAAGTCGGTAGTATGCTTCCTTGGCCAGGTAATATGGCATCCATGTATAGGACGGATAACCAGGACGACAGCAGAGACGGATTCGATGAGCTTGGGCAGGGAGGACGATGACACAATCGAGAGGCAAGTCGGCCGTATTTATTTCCCTGGGGGAGGTTGACGGCTTCCCCTTGGGCAGGGCTCAAAGAAGAGAGTGATACATAGTGAGGTTGAGGGGGCCAAAGGGCCTCATCCGAGAGTGAAAATTGAGGCACTTTGCAAACCAGTTGCGTCTCTGGAGACCAAGTATCTGGAAAAAGGAAAAAAAGACAGGGGGAAAGGTCTCAATACGGATCAAGGTATAGAAGTAGCGTGGATGGGTCGACTTCACGACGCAGAATGACTTCAAATGCCGCGGAATGAGGGCTGAGTGCGGAGGGCTGAGGTGCTGGAGGCAGGAGGATTTGGTGGCCAACGACAAGAAATGAGGTCTGGGAAACGAAAATGAGAGGGATGAAGAGAACGAGCGGTACGGAGAACTTAATAGGCGTGAGCATTTAAATGGAACAAGTTAGAGTGGACAGGCAGTAGATAGTGCTGAATGGTGAGTGGTTGAAGGGGCGCGACATTCGACGCAGATGCGGATTCATTTTCCGGCTGTAGAGGCGCCATCACCCAAGGGCTCCCAGGCGGACGCATTGACCAGGTGGCACCTGAGAGGGCAAGATGGCAAGGCGGGACCCTGACGAGCCCTGGGTGAGTGGCCCTTAGGCTTCTAGCTAGGCACCAGGACCTCTACTTACGCACCTACCTACTTTTACTTGTTCAGGTAGGCCCTCCCTGCCCTTGGTAAGAGAAGTGGCAACTGGAGCGGAGCAGGGATGGTGACACGAGGAGAAAAAGAAAGACCAGGCACGTGATTCTTATCGATAACGCAACGTCCTGGCTTTTCGTGAGCCGAGTACTAGGAAATCGAACCCCCCAGTCATCACAAACTTACAATCCACGAGAGAAGTACAGCACTAAAGCCCATAATATGTCGTCCAATGTCGGTCTCTCCACGCCGCGTGGCTCAGGAACATCAGGCTATGTTCAGCGCAACCTGTCCGTCCTCAAACCTCGCGCCGTCGGCATCGGCGCCCCCTACAGCCTTGACTCTGCGCGACAAGGGCCCAAGACTCGGAAGCCCGACCAAGAAATCCTCAACCATGACCGCCTACGAGCCATCGAAGTGAAAGTTCTGGAACTGAGGGAGAAGCTGGAGGACGACGAACTTGAGGAGGAGAAAATAGACGAAGAGTGCGACAAGCTGAGAGAACAACTGACCAAAGAGATGGAACGGGAGAAGAATCGAGACGGTGGGAGATCAGGAGGCAGTGGTGCTAGGAGAGTGGATGGAAAGGGTCTCAAAAGTTACCAGGTGCATGAGTTGGCCGAGGCAAAGGAACAAGAGAGTGAACGACTACGCAGGGCTCTTGGGCTAAAACCTGGTGAGATCCCCCAAGACGACGAACATCCTATGGCAAGACAGGAGAAGAGACGACGGGAGAGAGAGGGAGTCCAGGAAAAGACGGAAAGCGTTGAATGAGGTCCATGGTGGGATGACCCAAAACAACAGACGGCAGGGTTCTATATCTCGAGAGTCCTAGCAACACTCGCCCCTCCCAGTAAGGCAACTCGCAGACTGCGGGCGAGATGACAGCCATCGCTCCTATTTCCCCTCCGACAGCTAGCTCTTGGAAATCGACGGTGTTGCCATGCCTGGTCTCGAATCCACCAAATCACTCGCTGAAGACACAGTTCTGGGGCTCATGGACGTCACTGTCATCCAAAATCAGGGAACAGAACTGTCGCGAACCTCAGACTGCACTGCCATGGTACACAAAGACGTGTTTTGGCAATGCTGGAGCATTCTGGGTTTACACGCTGAATTTCCGTGCAACTGTCATCGGCTGTGGAAATTGTGCAGGCCTTCCCACACCCGATTACATCTGCTAGAAGTCCTCGGCCTACGCTTTTCCACCGTCGTGTACTTCTACTCCTGGTGGACGTTACCTTTTCAATCTACCGATCCTATGCCTCTCCGCTCCAGCGAAACTGCAGGGTCGAAGAGGAACGCAAATCCCATCGAAAGGAGCGTCCTGTAACCTCGACAACTCCTTCACACTGGAACGCATCGTCTCCAGAAGGGTCAATGGGACGTAGTTGTCGTGTCTCGTAACAACATTGTACAAAATTTCTAGGATATATATCAATCGACGACACTGGCAGCACCAGAGTACTTGCGGGTTCTATATGCGCTCCCGCCCATTCTATCGTCTTCGTATAACATGTCATAGATTTTCGAGCAAAATTGTGGACTAGAAAGGCCTTTCTATCTCACCTTGCGTATTTGGTGCTCGTCTTGTCTGGCTCAACAGCGGACTGAAGTCTGTCATATCCATGAACTCGCAGTCTTATCCATAGGAGAGCATACTTGAAACTCATTTGAACGTCGTGGGCCCTTTTGGCAATGTGCTGGAGAATCATCTTGAATTTATCTTCGGTCGAGAAATCGGCATTGTGCACAATATGGTAATAAGTCTGATTTCAGATTCCACAATGGTTACTCCACAATGGTTACTCCTGACAAGACTTGATCAAGGTCCGTTTGTTGAGTCAGCATTGATGGTAAGATTAGAGAAAACGCCAGCAGTCCAGAGTAAGATAACATATATTATAGCAAGGACACCGATCGAATATGAGCGTAGGGAGGGCGTTACCAGTGCTCGTCCGTCGATGTTTCCATGCTAAACGCAGCATACGTTCTGCAGATGTAGGTATGTGGGAACCTGCATTTTTCAACACAGTCTGTTGTCTCTGGAGGTGAGGAGTAAACAACTCTGGCTTCTTAGGAGTACCGAACTTGACGACCAGGTATCGAATGATATTCCAGAGCTGAACGCCGCAAACCGTGACAAAGACTACGGGCGAATTGGTCAATGTTGTGGCATACGTTGGCTACAGTTTTAATGTGAGGCGCCATGTCTTGCCCCTCGGCCAGTCTGTCCAGACGCCCTGGTAAACCCGGGCAACTGGGTCCAGACTGTCCGCTCTATCAGAAGATAGTAGCGCCGACTATATTGGCGTGAGCTCTGCGTAGATCTCAGCTCATCGGGAAAGAGGCCTGGACGATTGTGTCACAGATGCAATATCTGGAGTTGAACCACAGAAAGAGAGGCCAACGGGCGTGCCAATGTGAACCGGAGGTCGATAGAAAAGAGGTGAGAGACAACTGTGGAAGCTCAGAAAAATGAGTGCTATATTCTGGTTCTGCCTACCATTCTCTGTCCCACTACTCCAGCTACAGGTCGGTTGAAGCATCGTGGTCCCCTGGAAACAGCTGCGGCTCAGGAGGTCTGCGAGGCGCAGATTGTTGTTTGCGGAGTCACCTTGGGCAAAGATGAGGTCGACTGCTCGCCCGAGATGCACACATGTAAGTGAGCGCGAGAAGACTTACAGAATGAGCATGGTGGGTGATTTCACATCGCAGGATCCGGACAGCGTCGTCGTTTCATATCATGATGGAAATCATAGGCGTTGAACATGGGGCGCGAGGCTGGAGGAATTTTGTCTCATGGTTGGTAAACAAGGTCGGTGTCACTCTCGCAGCGGCTCAGAAACGCATGTCATTGGCCGCGAGGGGAGCCACCACAGCGCGAGGTTTCCAGATAGGACATGGCAATATATGTCCCAATCGGTGGAAAACCCAGAGGTCAAGTTCCAATTGGGCCCCGAGTGGCGTCTGAATAGAATTGAGAAAGCAATTGACTTGGAGGAGGCAAGAGGATAAGAGAATTCGATCTTCTAATGTAGGTGCTGTTTAGGTTCACATTGCTTGGCAGGCTAAACTCGAACGTGACGGTGCCAGCAAAGAAAGAAAGAGCAACCCAAAAAATCGAGAGAAAGAGCGCAAGAGCCCCCAAGAAAAAAGACACATGTGGTATGTGCGTTAGCCGGGACTGCGATGATGTGTTAGATCATTGTTCTACCCTCGATACTGCTCACAACACGTTACTTACATCGAACCCGGGGCTAGAGCTATCGCAATCGCTTAATGCCGATGGAAGGCCCCAATGTCTTCTAACTGTTAGCAGGGGAGTTTGCTTCAATGCGAAGCGTTGCAACTTACTACCATTACACCACCAACGCTGAACTGTTGTGATTTGTGACACATTTTTGATATAATTAAATATAGATGTTTCATTTTTCTATTAGTGGGGCCGTGGGGTAGAGTGTGGGGGCACACTTGTCATCTCGCCACTTGACATGAGTCGTGACTATGTACCTAGGCCTTTCGGTGCTGTGGCTATGTGATCCCGAGTACCGCTTAGCGAGCCCTAAGGCTGAGCCGGAGTCGAGCTAGGTTCTCCTGATTCCCAGGTTAGGGCGGCCGGCCGGCGTCCCAAATAAGTGCCAAGAACTAGCGACATTGTCGCCGTTGAATAATACCCGGGCCTCCTCCACTTGGCAACAGGCCGGCCCGGGAAATATCAACTTGCCGGGGGATCCACTTTCAGAGTTGAAATGTTCAATATAGAAAGGAGCAACCGGCTATTAGTGACCAGGGATGATCTAGTTATAGAGGCTGCAGACACCCAAGTAAAGGCTCACAAGCCCCATTATCCCGCTTATGATCATCAGAACAATTCGTGCAAAACGGATGCCCGGTCCTGTGGTCTCAGTGACAAGGGGTCTCAAAACTTCAGCAAATATCCGTCTATCCGTCTGAAATATTCTGCTTGTAGACTTCGAGGAGACGACTAAAAGAGAACAAACATGGTCTACACAGTCAGATGGGGAATCCTTGGTAAGATGGATGTTTTTTTTTTTGATCCCTCTTCTGCAGCTGCGGATATTTTCAGTCCTTTGCAGCAAACCTGAATGGATATCACTGACGTTTAAATTCTCGATCTTTTTAGCCACTGGTTGGATTGCTGAAAGTCAGTATTTCCCGTCAAACGTCGAGTATGGGTTTGAAATAGTTGGGCCTGATAGCTGGAGCACACAGAATTTGCCGGCGATCTTCTCAAAGACCCGAGCACACGCAACACCACAGACGTAGCCCATGTCGTGGCGGCGGTCGCGTCATCTTCGGGCAAAGACCGTGCTCAGCGCTTTTGTCGTGATATTTGCATCCCCGAAGCTTGCGCTGCCTACGGCTCATACAGGGACCTTGTAAACGACGCCAACGTCGACATTGTCTACGTCGCAAGCCCACATTCGCATCACTTCCAACATGCGATGCTGGCTCTCGAAGGCGGCAAGCACGTCGTCTGCGAGAAACCCCTAACAGTCAACGCCGCACAGGCAAAGGTTCTGTACAAGACGGCAAAGGAGAAGAACCTGTTCTTGCTCGACGCAGTTTGGACACGGTTTTTCCCGCTGAGCATTCAAGTACGAGAGTCGATCCAGAAGGGGGAGATTGGCGAAGTCCTCCGCGTCATAGCCGATACGTCCTTTGGCATCCACCCTGATATTTCTCTCAGAGAAACTCCTCGGAAGCTCACTTATGAGCTTGCTGGTGGAGCTCTGCTGGAAAGTACGTTTACTCCTTCTTCCCAGATGTTGAGTAGACTTTCGGTCCCTGACGTTCAACGCGGTGTCCAGTTGGCATTTACTCCATTACCTGGGTGTTCCAAACGCTTTATCACACTCTACCGCGAGATCAACGCAAGCCTCCGTCGAGCATCTTGTCCTACATGAACAAATATGAGCCCACGAGCGTAGATCAGACCACGACGGTTCTGCTATCCTTTCCGACCTCGACCCCTTCCAACCTCCCCAACAGCTCTTCTCATGGGATAGCAATGACGGCCTTTGCCGTAGCTACCGATCCTGACCATAAGAACAGTGCTGGCCCGGCGATCCGTATCCAGGGCACACGGGGCGAGATTCAGGTTTACGGGCCTGCCTTCCAGCCTACCCGATACAGAGTGATTCCGGCCAAGCAAGGGGATTTGGCGATTACCATCCGCGATGTTGAGTTGACTTTTCCGGCAAACGGGCACGGCATGTTTTATGAGGCAGATGAAGCAGCGCGATGCATTCGAGACGGTAAACTCGAAAGTGAGACCATGCCTTGGGACGAAAGTATCCTCGTCATGGAAGTCATGGACGAAGTCCGCAAGCAAGGTGGACTTAGATATCCGGACTCGATCGAGTCAGATGTTATACATCACTCTAACAAGTAGAAATCCGTTTCCATATTTGATCAATTCCAATACGTGGCAAGAGGGTTCGTCTCGAGAGAGCCATATAGATCTTGTTAAAATATTCTCCTGCACCTGGGTATTTATGATGAATGCTCATGCCTCGTGAGAGCTTACCGGATGTGCATGGTGGCTATTTCTTCCATATGCGTGGACACGGACTACTATCGCGGGAATAAGTGTGAAAACGCCCATATTTCCACCAGGCACGCTGCGTTCCAGCTGCGGAGCGAAATGATAGGCAAAAATGGTGCAGACAGAAATGCCATAGTTGAGTCCGCCTCAAAGCAATGAGCTTCCCACTATACGGCGAAAGGCAACATTCGTCTACCTTTTATCAATACGTTTCTTTGAGGACATGTCTATATGCTGGCAAAAGAGTTTGCCCTGTGATTCCCTATTTGGTTTTCCCCCCAAATGGTCAGCCTCCACCAGCAACCAGCGTTGACAACCCTTTGAGAATGAAGACGACAGCTGTCTTCATGGTTCCAAACTCGGGTCGGTATGCTAATGGACAAGTCTCGTAACAGGTGGATGACTGTGGGTCAACCACATGCTACTTCTCCTCGACCTCGACCACGACGACTTTGTCGCCACCTCCTTCCTCCTGTTTCTTGAGCTCCTCAGTCTCCTCCTTCGCCAAGCGCGCTGCCTCCTTGTAGCTCATGCTCTTGCCAGCGTGATACTTGATCTTGAACATGCGGTCGACCTCTTCCAAGGACAGGCCTTTGGTTTCGATGTAGAAGAACCAGACGAGGGGGAACCAAGCAAAGTTAAGCACGGCGAAGATGATGTAAAACCTCCAGGAGATGTTTGCGATGGCGCTGGGGGTCATGATCACCACGACGTACACGAAGACCCAGTTCGTCACCATGGCGGCACTGTTGCCAATGCTGCGCATCCGTGATGAATTGATTTCGGAGGGGTATAGGAATGGAATGGCCAGGTAAGAAAGACCCTAGAATCAAGTGAAAATGTCAGTTTCGGACTTTCGAGGAGTTTGGAAGAGAGAGAGAAAGAGAGAGAAAGAGAGAGAAAGAGAGAGAGAGAGAGAGAGAGAGAGAGAGAGAGTGAGTGAGAGAGTGAGTGAGAGATGAAGAATGTGACTTACGTAGAAGAGATGGTAGCCAAACATGAACGACACGGCCATGGCGTAGCTGGCCTTTGTCCCAATGCCGAGACCGATTGTGGTGAGGGTGAAGCAAACGCCGCATCCAATAGACCCAAACAGCATGAGAGGGACACGTCCGAAGCGATCAATGAGGAGCATGATGGCGGAGCCCCAAACGCAGAGGGAAATAAAGTCAATGGCTGACAGGATCAGAGCAAGCCTGTTGCTGAAGCCAAAGGACTTGGTCAGGATCACTGGGAAATAGTATACAACCTGCCAGTTTTGGCGCAGTTACTGTCAGTATTGCGCCCGGAAAAACCTCGCAGGCTTGAAAAGAGAGTGGAAGGAATCAGTCTGGATCTCGATGCTTACCACGTTAATACCCCCCATCTGCTGAAAGACGGACGTACCGGCGCCCAAAACAAGGCGCCGGAAGTTCTGCTGTTCACCACCTGAAAAGACCTCCCGCCATCCAATGGCTCCGCCAGCCTTTTCGGCTGCGATAGCATCGCTGATAATCTTCAGCTCGATCTTGACCGATGTGTCCTCGCGGTCTTTGGCGGCAAGGCGAGCTAGCACCACCTGAGCTTCCGCATGTCTTTCCTTGTAGCAAAGCCACCGAGGAGACTCCACCGTGCAAGCAAGCAGTCCGAGCGTGACGAAGGCCCAGAAGCATTGCATCGCGATGGGAAAGCGCCAGCTGACTTCGTTCGTGTAGACATAAGTCATTCCCAGATTGATCCAACTGGTCAGATCAATTCCGAAGATCACCATGACCATTTGAAGAGCAACAAGCTTGCCGCGGTGCTCTGCCTTGCTGGTCTCAGCTTGCCACATGGGCACGACGGCTGTACTCTGCCCGATTCCCAGACCGGCAATAATGCGGCCAACAATCATGTGTGGCAGGGAGAACGAAGACGCCTGCAACAGGCCTCCGACAATGACAAAGGCACACGACATGGCAATCGACTTGCGGCGGCCCAGCTTATCGCCGAAATAGATGGATATGATGGCCCCGATGATGCAACCAATGTCATAGGTCGATACAATCTGGCCTTGGATTGTCGGATTTGGGTTCTTGAACTGTTTGGCAAACGTCGGGTCGTTCAAGATGCCGCCAAAGACACCCTGATCCCAGCCGAAGAGCATAAAGGAAAAACCACAGGTCATGGTGATGGCGACCGTGAGGGCGCGGCCCTGGAGGGGAAGCAGACCCATGCTTTTAGGGGGGTTTTCTGGACCACAGAGTTGACTCTGGTCTGAGGAACTCTCAAGGTGCGTAAAATGAGGGTGTTGACGAGGAGAGTGGTAAACAAGACAGGCTGACCTGAGTTGACAGAATCAGTCAGACAAGAGAAAAGCCGTGCCCCATATACTCCCGCATGCCCCTGGGTTGAAATAGACCGTCCTGATAAAGCATCCACCTGTCTCTCTCTCCCCATGGGGGAGCCCCTTGACAATCCACTGTGTGGCCAATTCCCAAAAGCCCGGTTGTAGACTTCAACTTCCATATCGCGCCATCGGCAACGAAGCCCTGTTCGATGGAACGTGGGCAATCCACGCAAGGGGTCTCCATCCTTCCCCGGTTGTAAGACTAGATAAGGCAGTTGGCGTGAACCTCAACTCGCTTGAAAGGCCATTCACCCCAGTCGATGGAGGCAACGGGGACTTTCCGTATACATAGTGATGTCGTGATATGCTCGTAGAGTTCCTGGCTTGGACTAAGTACAAGTCAATGCCTTTGCTGCACACATATGTGGGTATGGTGCGGGAAAGGGGCAAAGCAGAATCCTTATAGCCGAAGGAGAGCACGGTTACTGAAGGGATAAAGCCGTGCGACGCCACCCGAAGACCTAGAGACCGAGGGAATCGACTTCCGGGACCAGAAGAATGGGCTCGGTCATGGAATTCAATTCCCGTTGAACCTCAATCATACCCCCAGAAACTCTCCACAGGACTTGCCAGATTCGTTGGAACCCCCCAACACAACACACTTGCAAAGAACTTTTGTGACTCGCTTGCTAGGCCTTTGCTGATAGTGCTCAGAGTAGCGCATGTAAGAATTGGTTCCTATGTCGGACCCCTTCTGGTCTGCGTTTCACGAACACCCATCGCGGTAACGTCAACATTCATCCTATTAGTGAGTATCGTAAACCGGCTTGGCTCTCACCGCAAGGATTCCAGGCGAGTCTTCTTGCTCATGTTTGATCGAGCCACAATGCAGCAACGGAAGCGCCAAACACGAAAGAATTGAGCACAAATGAAAGAACCTTGGGGCTACAACCTTTGTATCCGCTCTGACCGGGTGAGCCTGGCACAACAATGTCTTACTGTAACGTGAATAGAAATTTGAGTAGAGCTCTTGAAGCCTGCGAGGTAGTCATGATACAGTAATAGCCCAGCTTAATCGTAAGACATGGGAGTAAAACATTCACCAACCTCGGGTTGATTGACCACACGGTCCTGATATCGAAATCATTTTGAACGACGTCGAAATCAGGTGAACCGCAACACTTGACTGGGGGGTTTACTAACCCAAGTATATTATTGGAGTAGCTCGGTCTCCAAGATTCAGGCTTCGAGGGGGTTTCATGTTACTATCCTGCAGAAACAAATTTGATTCCGCCAAATAAGCGACTTGTCCTGACAACCTTCTACAAGAAGAATAGAGCTTCACAGCAGCATAGTCGGTATTCCACAGCCAGTATGGCGGTCAAAGTGTTTATGTACGAGGCCGACGGGATGAAGTTCAGAAAATTATACCCGCTGACTCCAATTCCAGCACAGGAGTCACAGGATACATCGGTGGCGACGCCCTCTATGCATTGAGCAAGAAACACCCCGAATGGGAATACTGTGAGTTTGCAAATTTCAGAGAGCCTCCTTATCCTCACCTCATTTGAATCCTTTCCATATTTGATTGACACGGCATGGGAACGCCGGTCTGCTTTTGCGTTGGTAACACGGAAAACCAAAATCGCTGACCTCATCTGATAGGTGCCCTGATCAGGACGCAGGAGAAGGCGAACCGAGTTCAACAGCAGTATCCCAAGGTTCGCATCGTGCTGGGTGATCTGGATGATTCGGCCGTGCTTCGTGAAGAGAGTGCAAAGGCAGATATCGTTCTGCGTAAGTTACCGTCGATGGCGCCCCCCCCCTCCCCCCCCGACCGGACAGCGTTCTGACCCCAATTTTCCTATTCGACAGATACTGCAGACGCATCGGATCACGAAGGTGCGGCAAGAGCCATTGCTGCCGGTCTCGTCGAGGGCCATGCGCCATCTAAGCCCGGATTCTGGCTGCACACGGGCGGCACTGGGATATTGACTTATGAAGACTCCAAGAATAATCGCTTGGGAGAGTGGTCGACCAAGGAGTACAATGATCTCAGTGGAGTGGACGAGTTGACACACCTGCCCGACGAGGCATTCCATCGTAACGTCGACAAGATCGTTCTCGAAGCTGGAACCAAGTATGCGGACAGGGTAAAGACGGCGCTGGTTTGCCCGCCCACCATCTATGGCAAGTCTTGGTGACCCCAGGAAGCGTGCGATCGTCATTGGTTTCGTCCTTTCGGAGCCGACTTTCAACTGTCATGTGTCAAGTAAACTCTCCCCTGCTGACTTTCCGCCTAGGTGACGGTCGAGGTCCCGTCTCCGGACGGTCTCGCCAGGTCTACGAACTGAGCAAGCTCATATTGCAAAAGGGCTACACTCCCATCGTGGGCGCAGGAAAGGCGCGGTGGAACCACGTCCACGTCTACGACCTAGCCTCTGCTTTTGTCCTCCTAGCTGAAGCGGCAGTGGCTAAGAACCTGTCTGACGACATCTGGGGCGCCAAGGGCTACCATCTCTGCGAGAACGGCGAGCATGTCTGGGCTGACCTGGCCAGGAAGATCTCGGCCATCGCGGCGGACAAAGGCTACATTCCCGCCAACCCCATCGAGAAGCAGCTTAGTAAAGACGAGGCTCTGGGGGTAGCCGGCTTCGAAGCCGTCAGCTGGGGCTTGAATTCACGGGGAAAGGCGGAGCGATTGAGAAAGTTTCTGGCCTGGACGCCAAAGGAGAGGAGCATTGAAGAGGAGGCTGGAAGAATACTCGAGGCAGAGAGATCAAGATTGCAGGGCAAGACGCCGTCAACTTGAAAAAGAAAAGAGGAGAGGGCATGACAGAATGTCTAGTTGAGAAGTCCTTGTTGCACTGCCTTCCGTCCTTTTCGGACACGGTCAATCCCGAACAATGCCCTTTTCTTTCGTCTATCGTCCGCCTTGCTCAGGACCTGGTGCGTGAGGACTATGACACGCAAAAAGATGCCCTCGCGACCCAAGAATCCAGCCAGCTGTGCCGTTTCGAAAACCACCAAACTTCCTGCTTCCTTCTTGGCCGTTTATCCTATTCAGTTCTCCCGGTACAATAGTGCGAGAAACACTCGGTATCCCAACCGTAACACGGTTGGTCCATGGAAAGGCCACAGTGCACCTTTAACCAAACAGCTTGACGCGAGGATCGAGTCAAGGAGATGCTCGCTGGAAACATCATCGAAATCCAAGCACATGGCTCTGGATGTATTCGCCCGCCAGACGAGTAAGGATAGAGGGGGCGTGTTTCGCTCGAAGGGGGATCCCATTGCCATGAAGAGCAGCAGTAACAACTAGTGCATCACCATCACTCATAATGGGTTGATGCACCGCCATCCACCAACAGGTACTGTCCAGTCACATAGGAACTGAGATCACTGGCAAAGAAGACGGCTGCTCCGGCGATATCTTCGGGAGTGCCCAGGCGGCCCAACGCTGCCTTGGCCGCCATGACTTCGCGCTGACCATTGTGGTCCAGGTGAGCCTTGTTCATGGTGGTCTCGATGGTGCCGGGACAGATGCTGTTGAACCGGATGCCATGTCTGCCCAGGGCGCTCGCGCAGGCGACAGTCATGCCCAGGATGGCCGCCTTGGTGGGCGCGTAGTGCGTCAAGGCCGACGAGCCTTGGACGGCTGTGATGGAGGCGATAGACACGACACTGCCACCCGTCCCTTGGGCCACCATCTGCTTCGTGGCGGCCTGTGTGAGCATGTACGCCGCCGTGAAGTTGACTGACATGTGCCGCTCCAGAAGAGCCTGCGTCACATCATGGAAGTCGGAGAATGTGCAGACGCCTGCATTGTTGATCAGGACGTCAATTCGGCCAAACTTGTCCAAAGCCTCGGCCACCAGATTGGCCGGGGTCTCTGGCAGGACAACATCGCCGCTGAAAGAGGTGTGTCGAAGCGATGGGTCAATCGCTCTGAGTTCAGATTGCAGCGCCCCAATGTCAGAGGTCGTCTGTTCGGTCCCCAAGTGGTGCAGGACGAGACCAGCGCCTTGTCGAGCACATGCCAGTGCCGTAGCACGCCCGATCCCTTGCGATGCACCTGTGATGGCAACGACTTTGTTGCGAAGTAATCCGGCCATCCTGACGTGAAGAATGCGTCTCGTTGTTCGCTTTCAGTTCGAGTCAAAGGAGACTGTGCCCAGGAAGGGTCAGTTCTGGTAGAGTTACAATCCCCCAGGTTTGTGAATGGTTCGAGTAGAAGCGTACAATATGCACCATCGTAAATAATTGCAGCCCGTGTCTCGAACGAGCAGCAAAGGGCTCGTCTCCCTAACTGACACTCAAAGAGCCGTTGCTCCACCCAAATTGCAGGCAATGCTCACGGGAGAAAGTATAAAGGCGAGACAAAGTCTTTCGGTTAACGGCCAGCCCGCTGGCGGCTCTAGGTCCACCGCCCCTCAACCGTACATACTAGCCAGCCGGGCTATCATCAGTATCACTGTCAGCAAAATGTCAGCTCTCAGCTTGTCTAGCGCAATGCCGACTTGAGACTTCGGTTGATCCAAGGTCATGAGAAGCTATGAAGAAAGCTTCAACGGTATCCCTATCAGGTTTATTTGCTTCGCCTAGTTCCCGCCGAGACCAACACGACAGGACCATGAGAGCAGGCTGGGATCATCGTCTCGTTGGATGAAGCTCGAGCCCTAGCAAAAAATCCGGTCATGTATTCCTAACACTCATAGCCACTGACGGAATTATACCTAGATCCAATCTATCTCTCACCGCCTACGACTACTTCAACAACCTCCATCTTGCTCTGCCTTTCCCTGATGTGCTGGTTTGCAGAAGCTTCTTCACCTTCCTGACAATCCCGACATCGTCAATGCCAAACCTCCTAAAGTTTTCAATGCCTGCTCCGGAATACCCAAAGTCATCCATCGCCACACTTGCTGTACAAAACCTGGCCCACATGCTACTGACATAGGCTTCGACGCTAACCACATGTTCCGTCAACCCAAGCACTTCGTTCTGGTATGTCTCGGATTGGGCTTCGAACAGGCTGATGCACGGCATGCTGACCACCCGCGTCGAAATGCTGTGCTGTTCTGTCAGCTGCTTCGCCGCCGCGACGGCAAATTGCAATTCCGAGCCGCAAGAAATGAGAGTGACGACGGCGTCACTCTGCTCGACAACCACGTAGCCGCCTCGGGCGACTTTGGCTCGATCTGTGTTCGGTATCGCGGTGATTGCTGGGTCCCTAGCCAGCGAGATGATAACCGACATCTCCTTAGTTGCCGGACCTAATGCTGTCGACCAAGCACCTATGACTTCTTCGGCATCCGAGGGTCTGATATACGCGAGGTGTGGCATCGCTCGATACAAAGAGTCGAGTTCGACCGGCTGATGAGTTGGACCGTTCTGGCCTTCGCCGATCGAGTCGTGGGTGGCCACATGGATAACTTTGAGGTGGCTTAGTGCACCCATCCGCACGCCAGGCGCTGCGTACAAGTAGAACATGAAGAATGTCGCCGTGATAGGGATAATGGTGCCGGGACTGTAGGCTGCTAGTCCGTTCGAGATGGACGCCATTGCATGTTCGCGAATGCCATACCGAATAACGCGGCCCTCTGGGTTGCCCCCGGAATAGATCCGAGACGTCTGGTCACCCATTTGATTGCTGTTCCAGAGGTCGGCGCCACCAGCAATGAGGTGTGGAACATGTGACATGAGGGTATTAAAGACGGTGCCATTGAATTGTCGGGTAGCTTGAACGACCTCGGGAACTTGAATTGAAGAAAGGACAGTCTCATAGTCGACCTTGCCATTCATCCGGTCGGACAGGAGCTGGGCTTCGATGGGGTAAGCCTTGTTGTAGGCCACCAGGAGGTCATTCCAGTCCTCTTCCAGAGTTTGGCCTCTTGCCTCACACCCAGCGAGGTACGCTTTTGTTTGTTCTGATAGAGTATGTGTGGTTGATACATTGGCAGACGCGTACAAGGCGGCATCCGCATCAGTATAGGTGCCGTGATGCGACTTGAAAGTGCCCGCGGTGGACGTCCCGTAACCGATTGTGGTGCGGATGTTGATGAAGGTAGGTTTGCCCTTGGTCGACCGGGCAAGCTTCAGCGCTGAGACAATATCGTCGACCGAGCTATTACCTGTGAAAACATCGATCACGTTCCATCCTATTGCGCGCATTTTGGCATTGGTGTCTTCGGACACAATCCACTCCAGGGGGCCATCACAGGTGACCTGGTTGTTGTCGTAGCAGAGAACGAGGTTATCGAGCTGAAGATGACCTGCAAGAGCCATAGCCTCTTGGGCGACTCCTTCCTGAAGACATCCATCGCCCGTGGTGCAGTAGATCCGAGAACTAACCACGTCGTAGCCTGGCTTGTTAAAGGTTGCTGCCAGGTGCTTCGAGGCGATGGCAAGGCCTACCGCATTCGCCACCCCTTGACCAAGCGGCCCAGTAGTGACTTCGATGCCTGGAACGTCCAATTCAGGGTGACCATGGCATAGCGTGGCCGTCCATTTACCAGTCTCCGGATCGACTGCCTTGGGTGAGCCGTACAGCTTCACCTCGTCCAACATCATATTCGGATATCCGGTCACATGTAACATCGTGTAGATGAACATAGCAGCGTGGCCATTCGACAACACGAATCGATCTCGATCGAACCAGTCGGCGTTCTTTGGATTGTATCTCATTGTATGGCGCCAGAGAGCCACGCCCAGAGGAGCCATCCCAATCGCCGACCCTCCATGGCCACCACCGTTCTGTCGACAGATATCGATGATGAACTTCCTCAGGTCTCGAACTGCTTGCTCATCGTCGGTCAAGATAGATGGAGCAGACGCGCCGTTGACTGTGATAGAAGGTCCGTTCGTGGTGCTCGGCATGTTTGCCCTCTAATGCATCCGCTCACAACGACCGGACCGCCAATTTTCGCCGGGACTTTGCACCCCATTATATCTGCAACGATTCGAACAACCCTTCCAGCGAGCAACAGAGACAGCAGTCCCAGCTCCGTCGGGATCTACTGCTTCTGCAATGCCCCTCGAGATCACCATGGCCGCCTATTCCTCACCAAGGCCCACAGCGTACCACCGGGAAGCTGAATGTGGTCCTCGCCCGGGAATTCTCAGACCACCCGTCATATAACCGGGGCCAATCCTCGTGCTGTGATATCGGCTGGGAGCCATCTCTCAAGGCTACATGGACAAGCGGCTGGTCCGCCACAGGCTGCCTTTGATATATTGTGCGAGCTCGAAGTCTGGCAAGATTTCCTCGACATGCAGAATTTGCAGAGATTTTTCGAGTCGAGCGGGAAGTCCTGTCTCTACACACACGCGCGCAATGCCTTCCCGCCGGACAGCAGAACCACGCCTTATTGTCATCGGGTGCGGGGTTGCTGGCATTGCGCTCTCAGCGCGGCTCAGATCGCAACTTGGATACGATAATTTTGTCGTTTACGAAAGGGAGAGATCTATCGGAGGAACCTGGTACCTCAATACGTACCCTGGCGTGGGGTGCGATGTCGACTCTCACCTCTATTCCTTCTCCTTCAACCTGAACCCCGACTGGTCGAAGCGGTTCGCCGAGCAATCCGAGATTCTTCAATATCTGCAAGATACGGTCGACAAGTTCGGGATCAGGCCCCATGTGCGGCTCGGAGTGGAGGTGGTCGAAGCCGCTTGGATCGATGAGAAGTCGGTCTGGCAGGTGACCCTTCGCGACCTCGACGACAACCATGTCTTCCATAGAGAAGCGGAAATGCTGGTATCCTGTGTGGGTACAATATCCATACCCAAAGACTGCAACATCCCGGGCCACGAGACGTTCAGAGGTGACATGTGGCATTCAGCGCGCTGGAATCATAATGTCTCTCTCAGGGGTAAGCGCGTCGCTGTCATCGGCAATGGCTGCTCCGCCGCTCAACTCGTCCCGTATGTGGTTCAGGAGGCGGTGCAGGTATACCAGTTCCAACGATCGCCTCAATGGATCAACGAAAGACCGAACAGCAACTTCTCCGATTTCCAAAAATGGTGCTTCCGCAACGTGCCCCTCTGGAACCGCATCTACCGCTTCTACCTGTGGAAGAACACGGACGCCCTTCACAATCTATACCAATCCGAGACAGCCCGATCGATACGTAACCGCGCCGCCGCCACGGAACACGCCAAGGCCTACATGAAGGCGACGGCGCCGAAGAAGTACCATGACCTCCTCATTCCCCAATTTCCACTGGGGTGTAAACGACGCATCTTTGACCCTGGCTACCTCGAGTGCCTCCACAGTCCCAACATCGAACTCTTAGCGGAGCCCATTTTGGAAATCACCGAGACCGGTCTACGAACTCCCCAGCGAAGTATCGATGTCGACGCTATCATCCTAAGCACGGGCTTCAAGATCCAGGAATTCTTGTCTCCAATCACTATCAAGGGTGTCGGTGGTGTCAGCCTGAACGAACACTGGAAAGACACGCGAGGCGCACAGGCATACAAGGCGACGTTCGTGACGGGCTTCCCTAACTTCGGGATCGTGTTCGGCCCCAACGCCTTCCCCGCGCACAACTCGGTCATCTATACAAACGAGGTACAAGTGGAGTACATCATCAAGGCCATGGTGAAGCCGATCCTACGCGGAGACTTCCAAGTCATCGACGTCAAGGAAGCCGCCGAGTATCGCGATGCTAATGTAGTCCAGGCCCGGCTGAAGTCCATGGTCTGGAATGCCGGCTGCAGCAACTGGAACCTGGACGCCGCCGGCCGCAATACCACCAACTACCCCGACGAAACCTGGAAGTTCTGGTACCAGCTCTACTGGCCGGTGTGGAAGGACTTTAACCTCTACGGCGGCAAAGGCACACATCCCCTGCACCCGGCCTGGAAGGTGGCGGCGACGTTGGCTAGTTTTGGAGTCCTTCTACCAGTTGTACTCGGCAGAAGTTTTCATTTCTTGGGCCCTGCTGTGGACATGTTGAAGCGGAAGGTGCTGTGAAGGGGGTATGTATGGTGCCAATTGTTTGCCTCCATCCAGCACATATAGTACGAAACGGAGGAGCAGGATCGAATGGGATGTCGAGCTTCGGCTCGGTCAATGCTGCTGGCTTCAAATACCCTGCCATGGATCGCACAGAACGCGCGCAAATGAGTCCTCCCGAGTCTCTATACAAGGCTAGCCACTTGAACGATCATGTTGACCAGTCGAAAGACAGGATAGTTCTTCTCGCTTTCTTAGCAATTCTCTCTCTCTCTCTAGCTCCGTAAGTGGTAGCTCTTGCCAGAAGCCGATCTATCAGCATAATACCTTTTAACGGAATGGCTGCCCCCCAGATCTGAGCCTTGTCTACCTTCTTCCCGAGCCTCTTCGGCTACATGATCAAGTTCTTCGCCCACCAGCTTCCGGCTCCGCAAGCCGGCCGAGTGTTAAAAAAAAAAGGACCATTGTCTTACCGGTCGATGGGCTGTGTATCGAATCTCATCCGTTTGACCCGCTTGTTCTGTTTCACGTTACCCCTCACGCGCTGATGATGCCCTTCCCGCCCTTTTCGGCTGTGATTTCGCATGGACCGGGCCACCGAAAGACCGGGATAAGTACCTATTGTACGCGAAAATGATGGCGTTCCGCCCCGTAAACTTGTAGCTTTGGGTTATTTCGGTTCTTGTTGGGCTTTTTGTATTCCATCAGGAGAAATGGCAATAAAACCGCTTCTCAACGCACGTTCAGAGGACGAAGCGACCGGCCAACGGACATAGCTGAGAGGGCCCATTCGGTGCAGCAGAGCCGCCGGCAAGGAAGACTAGATCGGTTACCGCCTTGGTGTATCAAGAAAGACGAGGAAAGCAGATATCGATTTCTCTCAACTGCGGGTCCAGCACTCCCTACACTGTTTTGTCCTTGGTGTCTCTGGAATACAATTTATTTAGAACCTCCTTGGCTCCTCCCATCGATTCGATCCTTTCAACTGTTGCTATCGACTTACGGCCTTCCAATATGTCTACAAGCTCGACTCATGTTGCTGCTCTGTTGCACGGGGCTAGCGACCTCCGATTGACCCAAGTCGCAACGCCCACTCCGCTTCCACACGAAGTCCTCATTGCTCCACGTGCCACAGGCATTTGCGGTACGGATATGCACTACTACTCAGCTGGCCGCAACGGCATGTTTGTCGTCACCACGCCTCTAGTACTTGGACACGAGGCTGCAGGGACAATCGTCGCGCTAGGCAGTGACGTGGAGTCGTTGGGACTGGGTTTGAAGGTCGGAGACCGCGTGGCAATCGAGCCACAGCAGCCGTGCGAGAGGTGCAATGTCTGTCGCAGTGGCAAATACAACCTTTGTCCCCGACTGAAGTTCAGTGGCAGCGCCAGTGCAAACCCACCAATCCAGGGAACGCTACAGGCCAGGTATACGCACCCGGCGTCATGGGTGTATGCGCTACCCCAGACCATGAGTTGGGAAGAGGCCGCCATGGTCGAGCCACTGAGTGTGGCGGTTCATGCGGTCCGAAGGGCCAAAGTCAGGGGCGGCGTGAGAGTGGTGGTACTCGGAGCCGGTGCGATCGGATTGTTTTGTGCTGCGGTGGCACGCGTCAATGGCGCCAGATGGATTGGCATGGTGGACATCGATGGCGCGAGGCTGGACTTCTCGCGGCGACACGGATTTGCCGACGGCGTGTTTGAGATTCCTATCCGTGGTAACGAGGGAGAATCGAAGCCGGACATGGCCAAGAGGCTGGCTGCACAGATACTCGAGAAGGAGGGCGAGGGATGGGGTTTGGCGGAGGTCGTGTTCGAATGTACGGGCGTCGACACCTGCGTCAATATTGGGATCCATTGTGCTGCGCCGGGCGGCAAGGTGGTAATTGTGGGAATGGGACAGCCGATTCAGAACATCAACGTGGGATCGGCGGCGGTGCGAGAGGTCGACCTCTTGTCGCTATGGAGGTATGCCAACACATTTCGCACCGCCATTGATATGATTGCTTCTGGGCAGCTGGATGTCAAGCCCCTGATCACTCACAGGTTCGACTTGCAGCAAGCCGCCGACGCGTTGCAATTGGTCGTGGACAAGCCCAAGGATCTCATCAAGTGTGTCATTACCTCGAACGATTGAACACTGTTGTCTCCTTTTGTATCCCTTGCTATCCCTTGCTAGATCATGACGACGGAGCGCACAATTTGGTACATGCCGTTCCGTCCACCGCTGCTCTCAGCCTTACACTCACCCAATCTGCATTCAATGCGCGGGAACTGTCGGCTATATGCTTCCCCGGCAAAACGCCGCCTCGCCTTTATGATTTTGGCCTTCGGCAAGACAACTTCGTCTGGTTGTGTTGCAGTGGCGGGCGAGTAACCGTCAAGGTGTGGAGATTTACCCCCCGAGAACCTGGACTGGCTAATCAGATGGTTGTCATATTGCGTGCTCGATAGACTAATGGGCAACTCTCTACACTGAAGTCATGTTGTCAATGGCGGGGAGTCGGTGATAAGTCTAGTCTTCCTCTGGCTGGATCAAGATCTTGACATGCTTCGCTTTGTTCCGGATAAGCTCCATGAAACCGCCCTCGATTGCATTTGTCAGAGGCACAACTGAAGTAATCATCTGCTCAAATGGAATCTTCCCAGACTCCATCGCGTTGATCACTTGTTCATAGTCTTCCTTAGTATAGCAGATTCCCCCAAGGAGGCGTTTCTCAAGAAATCCAATGTCGTTTAGGTTCAAGGATAGCGGTTTCTCGTGTATCGCGACGTTGAAAATAGTCCCTCCGGGTCGCGTGGCTGCCAGTGCCGTGTCCAAGGTCGATTGGAGGCCAGTTGCGTCAAAGGCAACGTCAACACCGTCTTCAGAGAAGGTCCGGATGGCATCCACCACGGGATCTGGAGGTGCCTCGCTTGAGCCGCCTGCGGGCTTTTGTAGAGGATTGATAACCAGGTCAGCACCGAACTTTTGTGCTTGTAGCTGTCTCGCTTCCGTGACTTCTGTCACGACCACCTTACTGGCGTCCCAGACTTTGAGTAAGAGCAAAATGGCAAGCCCGATGGGACCTGCGCCAAGAATGAGTGCCGTCTGACCTTTCTGGAATCCCGATGTCCGAATGCTGTGCCAGGCGACAGCGAGAGGCTCGGTCAGGGCACCCACTTTTAGTGACACCGAACTTGGAAGAGGGAAGCAATTGAAGTCCTTGACCACGATCTCAGTCGAGAACCCTCCTCCCCAGGCACTCAGGCCATAGGTGGCAAAGCGCTTGCAGATATTGACCTTGCCCCTGCGACAAGATGAGCACGGGGGCTCATTGTAGGATCGATCGTCCAACGAGGGACAGACCGCCACGTTTTGGCCGAGCTCCAGGTTTCGGACTGCTGATCCAACCTCTGTCACAGTGCCCGACATTTCGTGGCCCATGACCACGGGAAGTTCAACTCCCGTAGCATGATGCTTGCCACCAGGTGGCGGAGCAAAGATCGGGAGTGCCTGATATTCATGAATGTCTGAGCCGCAAATCCCACAGTAGGCAATCTTGAGTCGAACTTCATTGGGTCCGCAAGGTCTAGGTAGTGATTAGCTCGCCAACTTGTCTTGAAATGCCTCGGAGGAGTGTCGCTAGCAGCTTACAAAGAAGGAATGTTATCAAGCTGGAGCTTCTCGCGGGCATGGATGCGCAGCGCAGGATGCGTTTTGGTGGTCATGGTGGCGGTCGCCATGGCTGCACTGAAAATCTTTCGAGCAGGTCGTGGAACAGGAACAATATATAGTGGGAAGGAAAAGCTTCAACAATGGCCATGCTGGATGAATGACCAGAAATCGGAGCAGAGTGCTGTGGCCGGGAATCAAGTCCCATACCGGCTACATGGGAGGAGGTGAATGGTCAAGGAGCTGATACTTCGCACGTGGCCCTTTGCTGAGCACCCGCCGAGGGCAAGTGGGGGTTAGTTATAACGGGTGTTATCGCCCTAATGAGTTCCCCAAGTGGCCCCTAATTGCCCCTCCATCATCCCCGCGGTAGGCGTGCTAGGCACCGCTAATATGCAGGAAGGAGGCTCGAGAGCCACTCCAGGCGGAGGCGAGGAAAAACTCGGGCTCTCGTTCTTCCGCCCAGCCTGTACAATCTCCATCGAATTCAAGTCTGCTCCTCAAATTTGTCCACATTCACTGATCACTTCACGCTCCAGACACCGCGAAACTGAGACACCATTGTCGTCGCCTATTCACACCTCTCTCCCTCCTCCTTGGCGCGACCAGATGACCCGAAAGTCATCAGTTCAAGTCACCACCCACGATGCGCCCTGGCAGCTCGGAACATGCGCCTTCAAACCGTACGCGTGCTGTCAAAGCATGCAAACGCTGTAATCAGAAAAGAATCAAGTGTGACGCCTTTGAGTGCGGAACTCCTTGCTCCAAATGTCGACAGAGCAACAGCGAGGAATGTGTCCTGATACAGTCTAGGCGAGGAACGCATTCTCGCAAAAGGACCAAGCCAAATCCCGCTGTATCAGAGCCCACGGCAGCCTCTGTTGGGGTTGATGCTGACACAAGCGCCGACGGCATCGCCACGCCCGCGGTATCAGAAGCGACAGCACCTCGTCCCCTGAGTGACCCGACTCCTGTAGACGGGTCGCCGCTCCTCCAACAAGCAGTTCAGAGCGTCCGTGTCGACAGTCAACCTCCCGCCACTGTCCCAAATGGTTTCCCAGTATCGGCATCCACTACTTCCAGCACAGACCTGGCCTCTCCAGAAGCAGCATTCTCGGAGACCAGCGCGAAGTCTTATCGCGAAATCTCTTGGGCTGCCATGTTCGACCATTTTCTGGACGGACGACGACGGGACCAAAAGGACACGATAGACAAATGTTCGATCACCTACCTGGGAGAATCCTTTCCATTGGCCATGGTGCTCGAGGAGTTCAAAGAAGGGGGACGACCGCGCCTCCATCATGCTGGGCCACCGCTCACAGAAGACCAGGCGAGGGCTGAACCTACGAGTGAAAATCACCCCTCACATATGCTCCCAGAGGATATCGCCTTTCTTCAAGCCAAAGATGCCTTTGTCGCTCCCTCTCAGGAAATTCTCGATGCTTTGATCGCAAATTTTCTGGACCGAGTATGGCCTATCTATCCGGTGGTCAATCGGCAAGAGTTTCTTCAACAATATAAAGCCAAGAAGGTTCCGTGGATTCTACTGCATGCGCTGTGTTTCATCTCGGCAACTTTCTGTCCCCTCGCCATCTTGCATCGTGCTGGGTTTACGGGACGAAAGCAAGCCAGAGTCTCGTATTATCGAAAGGCCAAGGCGTTGTTTGACACCGGCTACGAATCCAACAAGATCACTATCCTACAGAGCGTCATTGTCCTGACGTGCTGGGGTGGAGGACCGAACAATTACTGGAATTTTTATAGTTGGATCTCTACCGGGGTCACGGTTGCAGAAGCCCTAGGTATTCACCGATCCACTGCAGGGGCAAACATGCACCCTCATGACCGGAGTCTCCTGAAAAGACTCTGGTGGATTCTGGTCATTCGAGATGCTTCATGTGGCACCCTCGTCGGCCGGCCCTTCCGCATCAACACCGACCACTCCGACACCGAGATGCTGACGGTCGAAGACTTCGAGTATGACGTTCAAAGCCCGGATTTTGTCAACCATCCTCTCCGCGACGTCTGCGGTCTGTATCAGATTCATATGTCCAAGCTATCTCTCCTCCTGAGAGAGATCATTTCGACGAGATTCGATCCTAATCGCGCCCAGGCTCGAATGGCCAATCTCCACGACACCTTACAAGATTGGCATAATGCGCTTCCGCCCACGTTACGCTGCTCGGAGAATGACAAGGCTTCGAATCCGTTTGCTACTTGTCTCGCCATACTCTACGACCACCACTTGATCCTCAGTCACTTGTGCCGGTCCGCAACAGGAGCGACGTCCACGACCAGCGGCAACGGATCCCTAGGCGGAGGTTCCCCCTCGCGCCCAATTACCGAGGTGGCTGCCCAGCGCATCTCGTCCCTGGCTTGCACGTTTACACGTAAAAATGAATCTCTTGTCATGCCGCACGAGGTCTTCCAAGGTCTCTTCCTCGCACAAGCCGTCTTCTATACCCAAATGAAGAGCCCGCAGCCTCTGGTGTCTCAACTCGGGTTTCAGGCTCTGAATAGCTGTCAGATGGTCTGGCACGACATTTACGAAGCGTGGGACCCTGCGCCCTGGATCTCCAAGCTATTTGACAACTTGATCGGAAATAGAAATCAAGATATAGAGTCGAACGAAGGCGATCACCGGAATAGTAACGCGTCTGGAAATGGGGCCCCTTACATAGGAAACGGCATGGACCTGGACGGAATCAACGCTTATGTTAGCTGGCAGAACCACCCGACTCTGGGTTTCTTCGACATGTCGCAGGGTGGGGAGACGTTTCCGTCGTCGACAGACTATGCCATGTTCACCAATTACTTTGGGACCACAGAGCCAACATCGTTTCTATCTTGAGAAGCCAATAACACGCACGAAACGTACCTTGGGAGTTCTTCCTACTTTGCATCCATGAGCGTGAACGTTTAGCGATTCAAGACACACAGCAAGCCTCCAGGTCTGGAGGCCCGACAGTGTTTCTCTCTCTGTGTCCGTTCCTCTGTTTCCTCTGTTTTCCTCCTCAAACATGTTCAATTCCATGATTCCCTTCTTCGGCTCAGCACAACCACTCGCCCTTCTCATCTTCCCACCCAAATTCTACTTTCGTCCACCCTAGAATGGTGTCTCGCCCATCCGGCATCTTGTATTGGATCCCTGGAATCGTGTCACTTAGCCTCATGCGGCCGACCGTCTTCTCGGCGTTGTTGAGCTCCTCCATTTCTTCCTTGGTGAGCTCAACCAGTTTGATGTTATCCTCGATGCGCTTCAGCGACGACGACTTCGGAATGACAATAACACCCCGCTGTACTGCCCAAGAAAGGGAGACAACGCCGACGGAGCAGGCGTGCTTGGAGGCAATGTTTGTAAAGAGCGGATGTGTTAGAATCTGATTCCGTTCGTTGACTCGTTCGGATCCCAGGGTGCTGTAAGAAAGGTCGGACTCTTGGTCAGTCTCTTTTCCCATCTTCGTGGTAGAACAGGCGAAACGACGAGGCAAGGTTAGGAACAAAGGCGACCACTCGCGAAATTGTTAGTGCATCCAGAAAACCGATCAACTTAACCACTGCTGTGGGACGAGCTGGCATGCATGCCCTGCTCACTGGAGACGGCGAACCGATCAAAGAACTCACCTCCAGCTAATGACCTGGATTCCGTTCTTCTGACACCACGGCACAAGCTTTAGATTCGGATTCATGGCATGCAACTCGACCTCGTTGACCAGTGGCTTGAGCCTACACCGCTCCAGCAAGGGCTCGAGTAGCTTTCGAGTGAAATTGCTGACTCCCAAGCCCCTGACCTGGTCTTTCAGGCCCAGCGACTCGTCCAAGAGCAGGTCCTCCATCATGATCCACGTGTCGATAAAATCGGGCTTCGTACCCCACGGCTCTGGAACGCCCTCCTTCAGCATGAGGGTCGGCCAGTGCATCATGAAGATGTCGATGTAGTCAATGTCGAGGTCGGCGAGGGACTGGCGCAGCGCCGCAGCCGGATCATGGTGCCAATGCGACCAGAACTTGGTAATGACAATGATCGACGACCGGGGCACCCCGGACTTGCGAATCGCAGAGCCTACGACCTTTTCCACGCCGTAGTATTGCGCCGTGTCAATCAGCCGGTACCCGTGGTGCAAGGCGTGGATGATGCTGTCCTCGAGTTGCTGCGCCGCCAAGGTGCCGTATTGGCCTGGATAAGGAGCGAAAAAACAAGTCAAGTCAGACCATCTTGTGTGAATTTGCGCGAGGGGCATGTAGTCGACTTGCTTACCCTGCCATGTGCCCAAGCCGACCAATGGACATTCCATTCCTGCGACGAGGGATGGCCCGCGAGGTCAGCATAGGCATTCTTGCTCAAGATTCGGCACCGTGATAGGGAGCAGGAAAGAGTGCCAATATACCGTTGTTCAACGTGACAGTCTTCTTGCATACTGGGTAGTCGAAGGAAGCAGGAGCCTCTCCATTTTGCTGCAGCATTTTTTTTTCCTTTTTTGCCTCCCACCAACTCTTTGTCGTATCGATCAGGTTTTCAAACTAGATTTCTCCTTTCCCACGGACTGGACAACACAGCAGAGCTTTCTTTTGCAGGGAAGGACACGCCTCGATGCGTTTGTGAACCTCAACTCTCCCACAAAGGAAAATATTTAATAATGAATATATGACGCCGGAGGGCGAGTGCGAGGAGGAGCAATGAACCGTAGGAGCTTGGGCTAGCAGGGCTTGGATACGGGGCAGTATATCTACAGCTGGGCACCAGGTCAACCCTAAAGAGCCGTGAAGAGGGCGAACCGAGACCAGTATTTCGCCGACAAGAACCTCTCTCTATGGTACCTGAATCTCTTAGTAGCCAGGGAGACGCCTGATATCACGCTCTTATGATGAACATACAGAATGGAACCCCGGCAAATCGGCTATAGTGAACCTGTTGGACACCCCCTTCCTCTCGGAGAAGACATGATTACAGAGTATGCGTTCAAATCGTCCATCCAGCTTCTAATCTACTAAAAGGCCGTCCTGCACGCCAACCACTCGAAGCTGACCGACAAGACCTCGACGATATTTCCCCACGGATCGGCCAAGTAAAGACACTTGACGCCGACGTTACCGGGATCGACAGTCTGGCCAACCCTCTTACCACCGGCGCCGATGACCCTGTCCGCCAGGGCGTCCGGGTCGGGATCGGTGACACAGACATGGAAGAAGCCGGCGCGCTCATACTGGAATTCGCGCTTCGCCGCGACCGGCTTGGGGTCCACGAATTCAAACACCTCAAACCCGACGCCATTCCCGGTCGACATGTACGCCAGCTTGACTTCGTTCAGGCTCGACGGGTAGATGGCAAATATGGCGGCGTCCGGATCCGTCGACCGTTTGATGTGTGCGATCTTGCCGAGAAGTCGGAACCCGAGGTGGGTGCTGTACCAGTCTACCACGGCCTGGACATCGGGCACCGATACTGCCACATGGTTGAGCGGGCGATTCCAAGTCGTCTAGAAGGATGGAAACCTCGTTAAAATACACTCATCGCAGCCTTGGGTCCTTGTCTCGCCAGATCTTTGGAGCCGGATGAGGACAAGGCATGGGTTCTGCAGGAACTCGACTTACGGCTTCTTCTGACATGTTCGTGGTTTAGACGAGTGGTGAGCTCTCCCTGTGGGTTGGCTGTCCTAGCTGTAATACTGGTGTGTTGCTCTGCTGTGGCTGTGCACTATGCCTCAGACTCTTAAATATGCATAGGCCCATGATCCTGGGGGACCAGCTACAATGCGCGGCGTAGACCTGAAAATACGGCTTCTAATACACCCGGCTATATGACCCAACTTTCCATGGAACCACGACGGGGCACGGAGGTTATGACCAGCCATTTATTTTCCCGTGCAACTTTCCCCCGAGCTTCGGCTGTATTCGGGTTTCTCCCATATTAATTAGTGAACTCAGGCAGCCAAGAGCTTACATGCACTAATTAAGCAAGGGAGATTTAAAACCGAACAAGGAAAAGCAGGGGCCAGCCTCATAGATCAATCAGCCTTGCGAAGGCCCTTGACAGAGCCTCGTTGCGCGCCATGGCCAAGGGAACATTATTCTTTGACGGCGTTATTGGTAGTTTCAAGTCTGTACAGTTATACTGGCTAAAATATAGCTATCGCTCCTGGCGGACTCCCAACACCACCTTTGACGTTCAATGGTGCGCTGGTCACGAAGAAAGTCCAACGCTGCTGCCTCTCGCACTCGGCAGCCAGACCCTCGAGATTCCAAAGCTCGCCAATGGGGGCTCCCCACCAGACCAGGGACCATTCGTGGATGATCCATTGGCCCAGGTGTGGGGGTGGCCAGGCCTCGAATGCGACCGTGTCCCCAATGTGGGCGGAAAAGTGCTGGCTATACAACCATTTGACCATCTCTTCGTTGTTGGCCACCCCGATGGCTTTCTTGTCGGTGCCAAAGGTCCCCAGCCTGCGCTCCTCTGTGGAAGCGCGATCGTGCTGGCGAACGTAGCCTGATCGAACCATGAGCAAATCTCCCTGTTTCGGTATCGTCCCTTGGTCGGCCAAAGCGGCTTTTAGATCGGCCACGGGGATTTCAAATCGTTCCCATGCATTTGGAGCTTCGCCATCTCGCTTTTCGTAGAACCGAACCTGTAACGGATCAGTTCAGGACGACGAGTGAGGTGTGGAAGCAGCTTAACCAACCATGTCGATGAGGATGCCGCGCCCGACGATGCCGCCGCGTTCGCACCAGTCTGTTCCGACCATCAGAGCGCGCCGGGCAGTTATTTGGGGCTTGCCAGCGTCCGGGACTCACTGTGAATGCCGTTGGTGTTGGACCTAAGAGCATCCTCAAAAGTCAACCCGTTATAAAAGACTTTTCCCGGTTGATACGCGTGCTGGATATGAACATCAGCAAGTTTCGCGCCATCGCACCACCAGGCAGGACAGATCGTCCGAAAACCCCCCTTTTTGCCGTTCCGTCAGACACGTACATGCTTCAAGCTGTCCCATTGCGAGCCGCTCTGCGTGTTTATGTGGATCTCGTCGTCAAACCCGTAGGCGCCCAGGCTTTTGGAGAGGTCGATGACCTTCTGCTCAAAGGGTTTCCGGCCGAAGCCCGGGAATTCGAGATTTTCCAAAGCCCAATCCAGTTGGACGTGGCGACCGGTCTTGATCTCGAGGCTCGCGGCACGGACAACCTCGGGCGTCAGCAGATTGATTGCTATCGTCTTGGTCAGTTCGCTATTCCCCTGTGCTTCTGGTCGAAGTGCCCTCATCTGCCTCACCGCCGACTTCGTCTTCCTTGCCATCTCTGTCGTACATGCCCCAAACACATCCTTGTGGAGTGCCGGGAACCGCTGGCAACTCTTCAAACACAGGAAAGGTGTATTGTTGTTCCGAAGTCATGGTTTTGGTTGAATAGATAGCAATCCTCTAACAGTTGCACCCGGGAGGCCACATAGCCGAATTAAAACTTGCTATGGTGCTCGGGGTTGAGATATTCCAAGACAGCCAGTGAAGTGAGCACGGGAAAAAGGGGAATCCGCAAAGCACCTTCACCTTTAAACGACAGAACAAATCTCGGCGTGTGCACCACATTTGTCCTGGCGGGAATTTCATCTCACGGCGGCGATCCCGATATCCCATATACATGTAGGCTGGCTGTCGTATAAGATACCGCTCAAGTTGGAGCCACTGCGTTATTACCGTTCATTCTATCCAACTTTGGCTTGGGGCCGGGATCCACTTCTCTATCATCATGGCCCCCGGCTCTCTGCTCAGTGACAGCCTTCCGCGAGAGGCCAGACTAGAGAAAGGGATCACCGTCGTAGCTAGGATTGGTGCGCATGACTTCCATGCTGTAGCTACCAGTTAGCGTCCACTGAACAGGTTCTCGGCTCACTGTGGGAAGCCGGAATCTGACATGGGAGAACCGAGGGACTGCAAGGTTATAACAAAGAAGACTGGATAGTTTAGAATGATAGAAAACAAAATAGTCCCTCCTCGAATCCTGCGTGAGGGAGCCAGTATCGACACAGCAAAATCCACGATGGGTGACGACAGACGCCCATTCTCGCATCCGGCGACCATCAAAGAAGCCATTTCTGATCCGTCCCTCATCCACGAGCAGGGCTTCATTGGAGGCCAATGGGTCAGTGGGACGAAGACATTCCCCGTCTACGACCCTGCGACAGACAAAGTGATTGCCAACGTGGCCGATCTCGGGGCCCAAGATTTCAAGGCAGCAATCAACCACGCTGAAGCAGCTTTCAAGGAATTCCGGCTCACGAGCGAACATGCCCGCTCCAAGATGTTGCACAAATGGGCGGCATTGGTCCGCTCCCACGCCGACGACCTCGCCGTCATTCTGACCATGGAGAACGGCAAAACCCTGCCAGAGGCTGCGGGAGAAGTCGAGTATGGTGCCTCATTCATCAGCTGGTTCGCAGAGGAAGCCATCCGCTCCTACGGCGACGTGATTCCTTCCCAGCATGCTCAAAGTACCAACCTGGTGGTCCGCCAACCCATTGGTGTCTGCGGCATCATCGCGCCCTGGAACTTTCCCATCGCCATGATCACGCGAAAACTCGGACCTGCCATCGCCGCAGGCTGCACGGTGGTCATCAAGCCACCCTCCGAAACACCTCTGTGCACCCTGGCCCTGACTTACCTCGCACAGCAAGCCGGTCTGCCGCCCAACGTGATCCAGGTGGTGCCGACAAGAGACCGATCTGCCACCACCGAGCTCTACACCAACCCGATCGTGAAGAAGATCTCCTTCACCGGCTCCACTCCGGTCGGTAAACTGATCACGGCAGCGGCGGCCGGAACGATGAAAAAGGTGTCGATGGAACTGGGCGGCAACGCGCCGTACATTGTCTTTGACGATGCCGACCTCGGTCAGGCGGTTGATGGTGTCCTGGTATGCAAGTTCCGCTGCTCGGGTCAAACTTGCGTCTGCGCCAACAGGATCTAAGTGCAACGGGGCATCCACGACCGGTTCGTGGAGTCGCTGCTGGAGCGCATGCGCAGCTTCAACATCGGATCGGGTCTGGACCCTTCGGTCACGCACGGGCCGCTCGTCAACCGGGCTGGGGTGGCCAAGGTCCGCGCACACATCGACGACGCCGTCAGCAAGGGGGCCCAGCTGATCGTTGGCGGCCGGGTGCCAGACGAGAACAGTACCAATGGCAAGGGTTATTTCATCGAACCGGCACTGCTGACCGGCGTCACCCAGTCGATGCTGGTGGCAAAGGACGAGACGTTCGGCCCGCTGGCGCCCGTCATCATGTTTGACACGGTGGACGAGGTCATTGCCATGGCCAACGACACCGAGTTTGGCCTCGCGGGCTACTTCTTCGCCAACGACCTGCGCAAGGTTTGGAAGGTCGCCCTCGCCCTCGAAGTCGGCATGGTGGGCGTCAACACGGGCAAGATCAGCGCCGCAGAGGCGCCCTTCGGAGGTATCAAAGAAAGCGGCTTGGGGAAGGAGGGCAGCAAGTACGGCCTGGCCGAGTTCCAGGTGATGAAGAACGTCACTTTGGGAAATTTGGGCGTTTGAAGGAAATAGACATTCATATACAACCGGGCGGGCAGGCAGCCGGGCAGTGCAGTGAGAGGGACAGCCAAAGATGGAGGGTTCTTTTTGTACTTTTTCTTCTACCCACCACAGGAACAATGTCCGTAGTTGCATTCCCGCCATCCTCCTGCACTGCTTGGAGGCGGTCAAGTCCACTCTTACCCCCCAGAACTGGTTGTGCAGTAAATAGCTTCCTCCCATCGTCCAGGTTCAGTTCCTCCCAGCATGCATTCCGCCGGTGATCAACAGCTCACCGCCCGTCATATAGCTACTAGCAGAACTGAGCAAGTAGACAGCAGCACCCTTGAGTTCCGTGCGGTCAGCCATCCGCTTCATGGGCGGCTCCGAGACAAAGACTTCGGCCAACCCAGGCCTCGTGGCGCTGATGTCCAGCGTCATGTCAGTCATGACATAGCCTGGGGAGATGCAGTTGACGCGGACTCCCGTGGTGGCCAATTCGACGCTGAGCTGGCGACACAGTGCTAGCACCGCCCCTTTGGAGGCACAGTAGTCTGACGTGTACTGGAGCTTGGAGGCTTGGTGAGCAGCGATGCTGGCGATCATAACCACTGAGCCGGCTGCCGGAGGATGCACAGAGGTCGGAGAGCTCGAATCGAGGGGTCGTTGCGAGGTCATGTGCCGCACCGCCAGTTGGACGGCGTAGTAGGTGCCCAAGACGTTGATTTCGAATGTCCGCTTGACACTTGCCGGAGACCGATCCAGGAACGGCTGATCAGGGCAGATGCCCGCCGCGGTGATACTGTTTGTTCAGCCAGGGTGAGTTTTTTGCCTCTCTTTGTGGTCGTGAAAGAAGGACAGCAATCGGGAGTAGCTCCGGCTTTCAATATTGGGTGCTTACATTCCGTCTATGCGGTGATAGTCTTGGACGATGGCGTCGAAGGTGCTCTTCAGACGTTCGTAGTCGGTGACATCCGATCTGGGAGAGGGAAGAAACTTGGATATCAGTCTCGTTGACTATGCCCCTTGGGCCTTTTTCTGACATGTGGCCCAGGTAAGACGAGGTGGCGGGAAGACTGACTGGTAATATGTGACTCTGGCAGCTCTCTGCTTGAGAATCTCAAAATGCTCATGCGGCGCGGGCGATGCATCAACCAACGCGACTAGACCGCCAGCCTCGGCCACCGCAAATGCCAGTGTCAAGCCAATGCCTCTGGCACCGCCGGTGATGACTACCACGCGATCTTGGAGGCTGAAGAGGCTGGTCACGTCGCAGTGCAGGTAGGCATCTGTTGCAGTTTTGCCTTGGACTGCGATGCCGGGAGCTGCCATCATGTCTCGGGATAGTAGAGAAAGAAGTGTGAAGACTTTTGAACTGGGACAATCAATGGACCAGTGCCTCTCACACTTCGAGAGAAGCTCAGCAGAGGCGGCGTGGTTTATCCAGTCCGAGAGTCATGGCACCAAATCCATGAGGTCTTAGGCTAACGCCCACTGGCCGTGTGCATCGCCCGCCTCGTTCGGTTATTCGCTGCTCTTATGTACACGAGATTGCTTTCTCTTTGGTGGTTCTCAACCCAGAGCCAACTCCAGAGTTCATTCCATTCTGGTCCGAAAGGGTGAGCAACCAGCTTGCTGCACTTCATCCATGGTTTGACAAAGTCTTGGGTACGCTCGCCCTGGGATGGTAGCCGGCTGGCCATTTGTTGCCAGACGACGCTACAATGGTACGTAACCAATCAACCTTACAAGTCTTTCTTGAAACGTTTTTAGTACAGTGTTGGAGTGCAAGAGCCCCGGCTACATACTTCTACTTCACAGTGTCCTCGAAGCTCGAAGCTGGGACGTTTCTATAGCCGATATGCAGGGGGATAAACAGGGGGTCAGACTGCAGGTTCCATCCGAGCCAACGGTCTTGAACCCGCACTGCCCGCAAGCCCTGCCGGTTGATGCAAGTGCCTTCGTGCTCCGCAGACACTTATGCGAGTTCTCCGCACTTGCACCTGTCATTGTCTATTATCAAACTGTGCAGCCAAGCGGGGATTTCAATGATCCCCAGGAGCTCAGTTGCGCAGTCGGATATCACGGCAGCCCCCAACTTGAACATCTTTGCCGTGTCATCTTTCTCTCTACTTCGCCAGCTAGTTGGTGCCTCATTCGCTTTAGAAACTCGTCTTCTCTCGAGTTTCGATCTCAGTTGAACGAGGTTTGCCGTGTGGCTCGGCGTTCACCGTCTGTTCCGAAACCTGCTCTCGTTGTTGCTCTGGAAGGCGATCGGACTTCAAAAAGATGTAGTCAATTTCTTCTAGTCCCAGGCCCTTGGTTTCAGGGAACCAAAAGTAGATCATGGGCACGAAGGCAAAGTTCTTGTTCTCGTTGTCAGCCGTCGGATCCGAGGCCACTTTGAATAAAGGGACGAGACTTACGAATGCCATGAAGACCAGATAAGTCTTCCAAGTGATATTGTGGACCAGAGTTGGCGTGATTTGGACAATCACAAAAACCTTTGACCAGATTAGTATGTTTCTTTTGGGGGGGAGGAGGAAAGCACGAATTCGCTCATGGGGATCAACCCACCCAGATCCAGTTGTTGAAGACAGCTAATGCGGTTCCTTGAGCGCGAAGGCGCAGTGGGAGGATCTCGGTACTGTAACACCAAGGTATAGCGTTCAAGCTGGCCCCGAATGAGAGCATGTACTGTTCAAGCAGCGGTTAGTCTAATCAGGATGGACAGCCTGAGCCCATAACTCACGGTGATGAAAAACGCAATGGAAACGTTGGCCGTTGCCTTCCCTTTGTCCGTTCCACTGTAGGAGAGCAGGATGGCCACCACCATCATAGAAAGACCCATTCCGATGGCGCCAAACATCATAGGCTTCTTTCGCCCGAGACGATCAGCTCCGAGAGCTGGAACCAATGATCCCACCGCAAACGCTAGATTCAGACAGCCACCCACAACAATGGCAGTATTACGATTGAGTCCGACATTGACTTCGAGCACGGTCGCCGAATAGAAGACAATGACGTTGATCCCCGCCCACTGTGTGTCTGGTTAGCATTGTCACGGTCACAACATGACTGTCTCGGAAGACCGACCTGGTTCATGAACAAGACCAAACAGGCGAGAAACACGCGCCATCCAGTCTGGACCGGATCTCGCTTGAAGATGCGAACCCATTTAAAAGGCTCTGCCTCCTCCAACTCAATGGCTTGGAGAATGTCTCGCTTCTCGGTCTCAACCACAGGATCGTCTGGTACGGTATTCCAGACTTTGCACAGGACAGCCACACCTTCTTCGGTCCGACCTTGTTGGATCAGCCATCTGGGCGTTTCTGGCAGGCCCACCACCAAAAGAGCAACACTGGCTGCCATGGGGATCTGAAGAGCAATTGGCAGTCGCCACGCGATCGGTCCACTGGTGAAACTCATTCCATAGTCGAAGAAATAGGCCATCGACACCCCGACGGCAGTAAAGAGCACTTCGGAAGTGACGAGTCGGCCTCGATGTTCTCTTTTGCACAGCTCTGACTGATACATTGGGACTGTGGACGTGTCGATACCAACTCCAAGCCCGGTGATGATCCGCCCGACCATCATTTGGGGCACCGAATAGGCCGAATCCTGAATGACGGCTCCAAGAGCTATGCAGAACATTGCTGCCCAAATCGCATGACGACGACCAAATCGAGCACCGATGAAGAAGTTGATGGCACACCCGAGAAAGCAACCGACATTGTAGATAGAAACGATGATGCCGAGGAATCCGGGCCCAGGATGATGGAAAATGTCAAGGAAATCCGGGTTTGTGATCAAGCCGCCAAAGACACCCTGATCCCAACCAAAACTGCACGGACCTGGTCAGCTGTTTTTGCTTTTGACGACAATGGGGGATAGGCACCAGCCCTGGCCTCAAACGTACAGTACAAATGCCGACAGACATGTATAGGTAATGGCAAGCTGGATTGGCCGACCTGGCTTGAACCAATCTCTCGTCATGATGTGCTTTGGAAGAAAAGATTTCGTCGAAATTGCACCTGGCCGTAGTCAAAGTAAGAACACGAGTTCTCTCTCTCTCTAGAATCGTAAACCTGGAGTACCGAGTACACCGACCGAAACGCGGGGTTTGGCCCAGAGTATTTGTACCTGCCCCATTGCTCAAGCTGACGGTGTTTTTGTGGGCAGATCAACATTGGAGTTACATGTGGATCATCTCTTGAGTCTGGTAAGGCTCTGCGATGTTGCTGAACCAATTCGACTTTCCGGGAGGGGGGGGAGAAAGAAGGCTATACGGCTTCGGCACATCAGGCTTTCATGTTTCGGTTAACCGGGCATTAATCAATGAGCAACGATCACAACATTCACCAGTGATGCAAAACCTTGAAAGTAGAGACCCAATTTCTCTTCTTCCCCGTCCATGAATCAGGCTTTTTGTGAGTCGACAAGCAGAATCGCTGAATAGCGACGGGCAAGTCTTGAAAATAATTTATTGTCTTCACCTAAAACTCCAAGCCCTTATCCTGGCAGGGCCGGTGCGGTGGACAAAAGAATTTCGTCGGTGAATGGCTCAAGCAAACCCACCCGCCCCGGTACTGCAAGGTAAAAAGGCCCTTTGTCGTCATCAATACTCGGGTACGTGAATAACAATGCCTCCGGTAGGTACTTGATGCTGGTATTAATGTTCAGTGCAACGAGGCTGGGTAACCGACGACAACCCAGGGGAAAGACAGTTCGGCTACTCATGTCAACACGACCTTCGGTATTAGCTAGTGAGGCCAAGCTTAATTACTCGGTACTCCGTGATTTAGGCAAAGCGGGAATATTCCGTGTGGACCTGAACCCTCTTCCGCTGGATTATACATACTCAGCTATCTATGCAACTGTCCAACAAAAAGCGCCCGGTCGCGCAATCAATGGAGGGAATATCGTTTGTGCTCCCGACCTATCACTGTCTCCTGTTCGCCAAATTATAGGGGGTATGATTTCTTCATTGAAGCTTGCACAACTGCTGAGGAAGATTTGATTCTCACGGGCACTGGTGCTTCGCCAGGGATTCGAAGCGGGCCTTTGGACCAAATGAAACCGGCAAAAACAAAGTGACGCCAGGATCTATCATAATCTCGAATCATCTTCGTGATCTGGTGCTTCCTCTTCTAGTTTGCACGAGCTGAATTCGAGATTGGCGCTCCTGGTTGCTCGTACTTTTTGTAGGTGTGGCAGCCGGGCAAAGGGAGGTTTGGCTCTCCTCGCAGAATAGGAATTTTGCCAATGAAAAGGGCCCAGATAAGTTGTACAAGGGACAAGGCGCAGTAGAACACCGCAAAGGCGAAGAGACCCCTTGGGATCAATGGTTTCATTCTCTATGAAGAATTCTTTCCGGGCGGAATGCACCAGCTACGAATGTCAACATGACTCTTTCGACGTACCGCATCCTCGAAGTCGAAGCTCGTGGATCAGAGGCTCGGGTCCCAACTTCCTCTGTAAGAATGATTCAATTTGTGCACAGGCTTCACTTGTATGGTGCCAGTCGAAGAGCGTAGCTTTGTTGAACAACGGGTCGATCACAAGTAGGAACCACTGTCCTACTTTGTTGGGGACGTCGAAAAGGCAAGGGACAAAGTACACGCTGTCTCTCTCCAGGTTCTCGAGTTACCTGGTTTCCGGATGCATATTCTCCGGAGAAAACGACAGCTGTGGCATGACTTTCCAGGCCATATATGCATCTGCCGATGTAGAACGCATGACTGTGTGCCAATTTCAGCACAAGATTGATGGCATCGGGCTGCACCGGTTCACCCTCAAGGAGGCCTGGAAGAACTGAGCCTGGAGTCAAAGTGCCCGACACTGTGAAGACTCGTGGTAATTCTATAGTGTTGCCACGACTAATCTCTTCCGCAAGCTCTGCCCAATCAAATCCATCGTCCATTGGCCGGACGTGGAGAAGGACTTTGAAGAGAATATCATCAACCGTGTTGGAGATGTCAAGGTGGTTTTGGGGGCTCCATGGGGTCTGGAGTAGTAGCGGTACCAAAGGGTCACAATGTTCAGCAAAAGCCTCCAACTGTTTGGTCAAAGCGTTCAGGCTGATCCTCCTCCTCCTCCTCCTCCTCCTCCTCCTCCTCCTCCTCCTCTTCTTCTTCTTCTTTTGGCTTATGAGAGGTGGGCGTGCTAGGGACTTTTCGATCAAACGGACGGACTGCTGATCGATCGAGTTTAAGCTCAGGTGCGTCTTTCACAGGTGGTATTTCGGTGCTGTCTGCTGTGCCTCGGTTCTCCTCGAGCTGATCAGGGATGTTTGTCACGCTCGTCCGGTACTGGGTCAAACACCCACTCGCGGATATCTGTAGAACAGTCGTGTTCACAGCATTTACTTGATGACCCACACTTCGAAAGGAGTACCTTTCCCCAGTCAATAAGGCATAGGAGGTGGTGACGAGGAAGGAAAGGCGAGGAGCATGTGATCTGATAGCAGTATGAGGAAAGAGGAGTTTGTTCATATGGAGGTCGCCTTGATCAGTATCTCATAACGAAAGGGTGTCCTCCTGTTTGAGGACTATTACCTCGTACAGGAACGGCCGTTGGCGAGAGAGTCAACGAAAGCTACCCACCGAGTGGTCACTCAAGAGCGACGAGGCGGCCGCCAGGATAAATATAGCTGGTTTCCTTGATAAGGATAGGGACGACATTATACCTAAGAATAGAATACTCTCGAGTTAATATGGACGTATACTACAAGTACAGTAAGTCGGTTCGCAATATTGATTATCCGAAGCTACGGCTGTCCACAACCAGCATGGGAATTGCCACTTTAGGACACTACCCACTTTTATTACTTTCTGGGGGTGGTAGGAACGGGACCCTGACACTTTGACGTCACAAAATGGCAGCCTTGGTGGCCTTCATCCTTCACGAGTTGAAGATCCTCCTGTCTTCATTCATCAACGAACTGATCGATACCGCCAGTCTGAAAACCACTTAGTATCACTACAATACCGAAAGTCGGAAATGGAGGGCCTGCCTAAATTCAAGGAGCGCGAGAAGGCGCTGGAAGACGAGTATATTCGCCGGAAGGAGTAGGTTTCGCCACCACCCACTCACTATATCACGCAGAAGCTCTTTCGAGATGGTTATGACTCGAGATATACCTGTCCATAGCCCCTTATACGTGCAGCATACTGACAAAGATCGTGAAGAGCCGAGAAATTCAAACCACCCGCGCCGACTCAGCCGGGAAGTACCCAGCCCTCGAATCCAGGGCAGCATGTGAGTTGCGAAACCGCTTAAGAGATCGTTGAGGTATCTTGTTCGATGTCTGACCGAGTGCAAGGTCCAACCCAAGAAATGAGCAAGTGGAAAGATAATTCTGGAACTATGAGCGGTTGAAGGCGGTCGTTGGTTGGGGAGGAGATGTATGTACGAGACACTGTCCCCAGTCCGGGCGTCCGACAAGAACTTGGTCCGCAGCAGTCCCTGACACCTGCTTGCGATAGACTGTGAGTATTCCCATTCCATCCATATACTTATAGTCGGGGGTAGTCACCATGTCGTGATACTGATAATGTCAATTGCATCACGCAGCTAACCACACATGCAGAGTTATCGTTCAGACGGCCCAGGCTCCAACAGTCAAAAAGGTTTGAAGCGAGAGATGGTGTCGTGCATGCTATTACACCCGAGTAAGGATAGGGATCAAGGAGGCGTCGGGCCAGGTTACACTCCACACAAACACTTTCTCTCAAGAACATCCCCTCGCCTTCCATATATCAAGTCTCTTCCATTTGACCCGGGCCAAGGCCCCTAACGACCAAGGCCGTTGAACCATGTATTTTCCGAAGATTGCGCCAACCTCGGCCGCAGATCCGTTTTCCCTCTGTGCTAAATCTGTCCAGATTGCAGAGCAAGTCGCGACAAAAGACGTTCGATTGGCTTAGAATAATTTTACGAGCACTCCTGAACCAACATGACCCACTACGGCATTAGGTTGCCCAAGTACGATTTAAACATCGGAGTAGGGCGCGTGGCCCAGCCGAAATTACCCTAGCAGATGTGCCATCCCTGCAGAAATGTCAAACCCTCTGAAAACGACATTCTCGTACGAGGGTAAACGGCATTGCTCCCGTGCACTTGTATATCGAGCAGACCTGGACGTCTCTTGATTGACCTGCACGCGATCAGTGTTGGGGGCCTCTACCCTTGGCCGCGAGTCGACGTTTAGCGCATTCTGTCTTTTTTGATTCTTCCGATGAGATCTGAAACATACTTGGGCTGGACATTCCAGACTACTCTGTCTCACTCCGCCCCTCCCCGGAGCCAGTGTGATGGATAGTGGGGGGGTTGCTATCAGGCGACTCTCCACGACCAGGGCAGAGGGTTACATGTTCGTCTATCATCAACCAAGGCGATTGTATGGATACCCTTGAAACGAACCCATAAGGTGTTCTGCCATCGCGGTTTGGACAAATATGCCGGTGGGTGTGGCTTGCTGCCTCTTTTCTTCAAAGTACACTATGCATTCAGGTTGGTACAATGCTTCAACAGTTGGGCAGGTTACGAGTCTTTGGTACAGACCGACCTCGTATCCTGGCGGCGGCCCTCGCCATCATCTTCCTCTTTGTTCTCCTCCCAACCAGATACTCGAGCCAGGTCCAGATAGGGCATCTCTTCACGCCTCCCGTCGTGACGCCTAGGCAGGCTGCGGCAAATAAGACACTCGGAGTGAGGACCCTGGGGGCATGCTGTCTAGATTTCTCCTGGCTAATGGTCGGCTACAGTTCGAAAAGTTGTTGGCGCTCTCATCGAAACCGAGCTGGCGCACGCGCGGGCTGCAAGCGGCAGCCAACCTCACGGGTCTCGAATTCACCATTCCAACACAACCACACAATCCCGAAGAGCTCGTCCATGCGTTTGAGGAGATCGGGGTCGGCTCGGGGGCCACTACACCCAAGCATGGCTCGGCCACAGCCTGGGTCGCCCACCTCGACTTGCTGAAGTACATCATCGCGGCGGGGTTCGAGACTGCTTTTATTGTCGAGGACGACGTCGACTGGGACGTCCGGCTCAAGTGGCAGGTGCAGTTGGTTTCGGACAACATCCGCAACTACACGCAGGTGCCGGAGAACGACACGGCGCCGTACGGCAGGGACTGGGACGTACTCTGGCTGGGTCACTGCGGCTCGGCCATCGACGACTGGGTGGCCCCGGGCCTGACGTACGCCGACAAAACGCGGATTGCGACCAAGCGGTACGTGAGCTGGTCGACCAAGTTCCTCAAGGAGAACGTGCCCGAGGGCCACAGGCACATCCACATCTCGACCATGACCGTCTGCTCGTTCGGATACGGGGTGACCAAGCAGTCAGCGCAGAAGATTCTGTCGCTGCTCGCGCAGGGGGCCGACGAGGCCTTTGACGTGGCGCTGTCGCACCGCTGCCGGTCCAACGAGCTGCGGTGCCTGGTGGTGAACCCGCAGCTGATGCACCACTACGAGCCGCCCAAGGACCGCGGGTACGTGTCGCCCGTCGACGTGGGCGACGGGGACGGCGAAGCCGGCAACGAGACCGACTACGAGTCGGTCAAAGGCACCACGCTGAACATTGTCAAGAGCGCGCGATGTCGGGCCCTGTTTCATGACACGTGTATGTGAGACAGGCGATCCGTCTACCACAACATCGGAAATGATGGGGTGTTATTTTTGGTGGCCGTAGATATGTCGATACATGATTGTACCTTGGTATTCCACCTTTGACGAACAATGGCCCCTCTCTTTCTTTGTCTTTTTTTTTCCTCTTTCTCTCCCTCTCCCACCTATCAAACAGTGATCGCGTCGTGCTCATTTTACCAGGTTTGACTTTTCGAGATGATAGGCAGCCACCACACGGAAACTAAAATTACTGCAAGGCGAAACTAACGAGGCACAAGTAGTTTGTCAATGTCGCTTACACAATACCGAGTTCTCCCTCCTTTCTCCCTCTCCCTCAAACTCGGTGATGCGAGGAGACAAGCACCTACCTACATACTAGCTAGGCACCAAGGTACCCAGTCTGTACATATGTATGCTAGCGGCCGACTCGTCAAGATATAAATAGAACACGTTTAATACATACCTAGTTACCTTTGGGTCACTTAGTGTGCCTAGCACACTAAAGTAGTACTCCCGTACGAATACCGAGATATGTACCTCGTGACTTGATTCCCTCATCAGTTTTTTTCTTCCCTCAAGATTGTTCTTGGTATGGTTCGATGTTTCAGATTTCATGTTTCTTGGGGTTAGGAGGTACTTGCCGAGCATTTCGGGCTAACAAAGAGAGAGGGAAAAAAAGGAGGTCCACTGACTAATAATTAATACCTCGCACTTGTACTTGTACTTGTCCTTGTGCAGTTTGGGACCTGACGTGGACCTGCCTCGGTGCTACTGAGAAGGCAGGTACCTTGGCACGCCTGGTAGTAATAGTAGTAGTATTTCGTGCCTGCCTCGCACCATCGCTACTACTTGTACCGAGTACTTACTGTAGGTAATGAGTACTTGTCCTCCGTACAGTACCGAACAGGTATATTCTCCACTCGATTTCCTTGGATCTTTTTCCGTTCTTGGTAGTGGGGGCACGAGACGAGCCGCCGAGGTACCACGTACGAGATACTACAAAGTATTCCTCGTACAAGGGCCGCGTAGCCATGGTGGCAAGGCAGGAAAGCTAGGGTACTTGGGCGCATATTCTCTCGGTCAGATGTTCCAGAGTGAATCATGACGATGGCGGAGATGATTTGTTATCACCAGGAGGATCTCGAGGCAGAAGACAAAAGGAAAAAGGGGGTAAGGGAGAGGGTGCTAGTACAACAGTACCGAGTACAACCCTACCTACATACACAGTATGTATGGACCATGTTCTGTAGACCCTTGTCGGCGCTGAGACGACTACTTGGTAAACGTGGTGGTTGAGGTATTACGCGATAACATTAATATAGGTACGTACAGAGTATATATTACAAAGGCACCGCTTCTTCCCCCTTTTGCTTCCAAACGCCCACAAGCCTCTAGCAGAGAGACGAAGCCTTGCCTCCTCGTGGCATCCTCCCTGGAACTGTACCTGACATGTACTGTGCACCAATCACCCCAAACCCCTTTTTACTCCTTCTCCCCACAAGCTGACAGCGAGGACTCCCCTTGGAACAGTGCTATCTCGGCCCCTCGGATTTCTTCCTCAAAAACACCCTCTTGATCCCCCCAATATCCCCCAGGCTCATACGGTTGCTCTTGGATCGTGCACCAAGGCTCATCCGCCGTGAACTCTTGACATCACTTCCAACAGAACTCGTGCTTGGACTGGTGAAAACGGTCACAGGGCTCGAGTTCGCATTGGTGCTCGGGCTGGAACTGAAATAGGACAACCGACGACCCCGGCTGGGAGGCGTCGACAGGAACGTTGTGGTTGTGGTGGTCGTTGTCGTCGTCGTGCCATTAGGCCCTTGTACCATGGTGGCACTGGCACCACCACCGCTCACTGCCCGGGCTTTGCCCACCATCCCTTGAACCCATGCATCATTACTCGCAGCGGGGGTCGTCCCGTATGTAGCCGCGCGTCGCACGTTCATTTTAGGGCCAGCAGCGCCAAGAGGGGTATAGTTAGTAGTCGTGCTAGGAGGAGTCACCATCGTTGTTGTCGTGACACCGCCTGGGCCGACGATGGTCGAATACCGTGGCTGGGACACGGTTGCTGAACTTTGACTAGGCTGTTGAGACTGATCATTCAACAGGGTCGTGTCAGGGTTGACAACGCCTGCCTCGCCACCATTCTCGTGATCAGTGGGCGTGTGAAACGCCGGAGAGCTGACGGTAAACGAGGATGGGATCGGTGGTACCGGAGGTGGTGTCCATGTCCCCTCAACCCTGCTCTTACGACGTTCAGGTGAACGATGTCGTTGAGCTGATGGTCGTGTCTTGGGGTTAACGAGCTCGACTGATGGGGTGCCCTCGAAGGTTGTCTGGGCCATGACGGGTGATCTCGATTTTCGCCGTCCTTGGGGAGCCGACGTACCACCACCCGAACCCACAGAGTCTCTGGCTCCGTTTCCAGGAAAGCTGGCAACCTCAAGTCGGCCATCGATGGTCGCTCGGCTCCCATGGTGAAGACTATACTCTCGCAAGTACTCTCCAAGATCGGCCCATCCCCCACCGACCCGAACCATGACACGATCCCCGTCTCCCACGGTCCGAACAAAGAGCTTGACTGGAGGGGCTTCGCGACCCTGTCCGGACCGGGTCAAATGGTACAATTTGATGTCGGGGTCAGTAAGGCTGCCTCTGCGGCTCGACGTGTCAGCTTTGGCTGGTGATAATGTCAACGAAGCAGTGGGTGTTGAAGCACGTGTCGACGAGGTGGATGACGATGGAGCATCTGCATCTTTGGCCAACCGGATTCTAGTAGGGAGGCTTGTGAGTATGTCTTGGATTCTGTCGTCGAGCGATTCTCTCGTCTTTGGCCGTCTGGGAGATTGTCCCACCTCGGCCATCAGCGTGGCGGAACGCGCTCCCCCCAAACCTTCCTCTTGGCCCCTGCTTGCTACTGGTGTGATGGGAGTACCGTCGGCTGTACTGATGCGCTTGCTCGATCTCCTTGGCAAAACGGGCAGAAGTGGTTCGGGCGTCGAGTGTGGATCTAAAGACCTGACCTCGAGGGTTGTTTGCACGGGAGTCGAAGCCTCGCTCGCCGGTGATAAGTGTTCGTGTACTTCCACTGTAGTTGTAGGCGTTTTCGCCGTAGACTCGGCACCACCTGTCAATTGTGTCAGTGCTTTGGAGGGAGTGCTCTCTGCCGACTCTGCCATTTGCGTCAGAATGTCCCAACTGGCAGCCCGTCTCAGCACAACTTGTTTCAATTTGTCTTTCGGGAAGACCTCTATGGAGGCAGTCGACGCTCGCTGGAGCATGGGCGGCTTCAGGGCCAGCTGTTGCTGAGCTGCGTACGTCGACCCAAACCAAGCAATCTCATCCTGGCTTGTCGGAAGAGGATTCTCCACCACATGAATCTTGGGACTTGGAAGGACGCTGGTTGTCCTGGCGTCCATGATCTCTGCGTTTGATATATCCGACAACGTCGAGTACATGGACTCAGCAACCGAGACTTTGGAAACATCTCGCTTGTGGCCCTTTTGGTCGGAAAGGTCAAGCTTCAGCGAAGGTCTGTACTTGGTTTTGATGGCCTCCTTGTCTGGTGGAAAAATATCTGGGACTGTGTCTTCAGGTAGGTTGTGGGTCGTGGTAGGAGGTTGGGCGACCTCTAACAGCTCGTCTGGTTCTGGCAATGGACTTCCTTGGTGTGAGGATTCCGGAGGTGCTGGGCTTCCAGCAATATTTTTCGTCCCCGTGTCTCTGCTAGATTTTGAGGCGAGCTTGTTTCTGAGCACAACGTGGTCTGCTTCGACCGCCCAGGTGGCATAGTCGAGCTCGATCTTCTCGAGGGTATCGATCCAGGCCTGTGGCAGAGAATCCTCACGCCCTTCAAGCATATCCAGAAATCGATCGATGCGACGCCCCATGTCCGACACCCGTCCACCCAACGTCATTTTCCTCTCGTCCAAAGACGAGTCAGTCAGCGTTTGGGCGGAATCTGGTGTTCTGATCTCTTTAAATGCTTGCTTGATCTCGGATTGGGTGGAGTGCATAACATCGAGGAATCTCGGGAGGTCTCTCAATACTCTTAGCCGCACATCCCAGGTGTCCAGCAGCATATTCACCTTGGCAAGGTCTGGGAGTGCTTGGATCACCGTCGCAGTGATCAGGGCAGTGAAATCGCGCATCCTTCCGTAGCTGGAGCGTGGACCCACGGGTCGAGACGACGTTGTCGGACTCGATGCTGGCAGATGAGCTTCAAGCACATGGTCCTTGATCTCGTCAATGCCCAAACTGTCCAGGTCGTCCCTAATCTCCTCGATCCTCCCCTCGTAGTCCTCCGCCACAGACGCAGGCAAACAGCCACGGTAATCTTCAGCCTTGCCGCTTGAATTTGACGGAGGCACAAATCCCAGACCAAATCCCCTCTCTTTCTTGCCTGGCCACGTCCATTGTGACAATTCATTCTTCCATTCCCGCAGTTTCTGAGCGGCGAAAGCGGCTCTTATCCCGATTTCTCGCTCGGCGGGGGTTGCATCCGCAATGCTCGTTGTCAAAGCATCTTCTTGCGCAGCCCCGCCGGAAATGGTTTCTGTGGCCTGTAGTGCTCTCAGCGTCGAGTCCGGCGTCAAGTTTCCAAGGAGCGGGTCGAGCTCTCGAATGGCGAATTGAGCTCTGCGTCGAGGGGACCGAGAGGGAGAGCGAGATGGTGAGGGAGGGTCTAAGCGAGGGAACTGCAGCGCTGTGGGAGTTTTGGGTGCCATTTTCTCCATCAAAGTATGCCCTCAGTCTATCTTGCCAGGCAAGCACTCTTGCTTCTTTCTCAAAGAGTTCCAGCCTCTGTAGAAGCAAAATAGCAGCATGCTGGAAAGGCTGCTGCCCAGCGCTCACGAGTGGCGGTAGTGCGAGGACATTCGAGACAATGTTTGAGGATGATTGGTGGCACTGCGCTGGCGGTACTTCGTGCAAAAAGGGTCAAAGGAGCGACAGAGCAGGGGTGCTTAAGAGGATGCAATCATAACAGGACGATCAGGAAA